CGCTACGCCGCCGCCGGTATCCTACCCTTACGCCGCGACGACTCGGGCGCTTACCTGGCCCTTCTAGCAGTGGAGCCGCGCCGCAACCGCGACAAGACCGAACGCTTCGTTTGCCTCCATCCCCTCGGTGGCCGCCGCGATGACGATAAACATCCCGGCGTCACCGCCCAACGTGAACTCAAAGAAGAGGTGTCCGGTTGCCTGGACGAACACGACGCCTTGGTCGCTGCCGCCGTCGACCTACAAAATCCCGACACCCGCCTCTTCTGGGCCGCCCACGGCCGCTACTGCCTCTTCATGCACCGCGTACAAGGCGATCCTTGGCCAAAACTCCCCAGCCGCTACGCCCAAACCCCTCGCGGCCAAGAAGCCAACGCCCATCGGCTAGCCTGGGTTGACCTGGCCACCCTCTGCCGCGTCGTCGATGCCTCTCATCAGCAGGCTGAGGACGAAAAACCGTCCGCCCTGACCGTGCATTGGGAAGACGAAGCAGGCTCCCACGACCACGTCGTCTCGACCCTCATCCTCGGCATGTTCCGCAGCAAGAGGCTTCGCCGCGAACTGGCCGACTGGCTACAGCTTCCTGACCTGCGCGCCCCAAAGCCGTCGTCCAAACAGTCTTAGTGTAGCATGCGCTTGGCCGTTGGCGGCCGTTTGCCCGTTTGCCGTTTCCCAGCAGGTTGTCACCGCATCCAACGCCACTCGTGCAATGCGCATGAAGCGGATCGAACTGAGGTCGGAAGCAATCCTTGAAAGGGGCAGGGGTTTGTGTTGATTTGCTCTGTTCCGTTTGGCTGGTGAGGGTCAAGTTGTAAGGGAAAAAAAAAAATATTAAAAAAAAAAAGAAGGACTTGCATGCAGATGCGGAATAGTATCACAGGGTCGGGCGCGCGGCGCGCCGGTGCCCACAGAATCGATTCGCTTAATCTTAAGACACATTCATCACAGCCATTACCACCTTGCGTCGTCATCAACAACCACGACAACCACATGACGGAAAGCTCCACTCAAAAGATCACACGCTCACAGATTAACCAATTCCGGGGCGTTGCGTGACCGAGACATGGAACTGGTCAGATTGAAGCCGCCCCCAACAAACCGATTAGTAGTCGAGCTAGCACTCTATATGAGGTGCGCACAAAAAGTGGCAGCAGTCAGTGATTTACGGCGCACGCTCAAAAAAACCTGAAGGAAAAAAAAAGGGGGGGGGGTGCATATGTCGCCAAAACACATCAAAACTCACCTGCACGGGGGGCAAGGTGCGATCCTTGTCCTTTTGGATCAGTTCCTTCTTTTTCGTTTCAAAGTATCTGCCGAGATGGAAACGCAAACACACACAAACACAGGCCGGGGTGAGCGCCAGCTTGGAAAATGGGGCCAGCGTCAACACAAAGCGCCACGATGCGTACCGCTTCTTGACGTCCTGTAGCTCCTTCTGAAGGCGCTCAATGTCGTACTTGTGCTCGTTCACCTGCGTCTGATACATGTTGATTTCCGAGGCCATGGCCTTGAGTTGTTTGTTCTTTTCCTTGACAGCCGATTGATAAATTTGGAGCTGCTCGGCAATCTCTGGTCCCGGTTGCCGTGCCAGCAGCGCCTTGGACTCGAGATACTGCTTTTCCAGCTCCTGGACTTTCAGATCCTTTTCGCTGGCCTCCTCTGTTTTGGCAATCAGCCGCTTCTGCAGTGTCTGAATGCGCTGAATCATGTCGTACGTCTCCGGATCACTGCCCTCAAGACGGCGCCAGCGGTGCACGTTGAGGGGTGTTTGCACCTCTTCTTCCAAAGCCTTACAGCGCGTTCGCTCGCGCAGAAGCTCTCGCTGTACGTGAAACAGTTCCTGCCGCAGCTCATCAATGTTGCTGGTGCCCTTGTCAAGGAGCGACCGCTCGCGCTTCAGGCGCTTAATCTCCAGCTTGAGCAGCTTGATGTCTTCTTGTCGCTCGCGGTATTGCGCCTCGCCCTTGGTCAGGGCTGTCTGCTGCAAGCGTAGCTTTTCATACACGAGGGCCAGCTCGTCGTTACGGCGGATGAGTTGGGAGCCAAGAGCGTCGCGCTCCCCCATGACTTTGTCCTTGTCCTTGAGGTGTCGCTCCTTCTCCTCATCACCCTGCGCCACGATGCGCGAGAGTTTTTCCTGGTTGGAGCGCTGGGCCTGCACTTCATCCTGGGCCTTTGTCACAGCCACCTTGAGGCGGTCCAACTCCTGCTTCAGCTTAACCTTTTGGTTTTCCAGAGTCTCAAAGTGAGCGTGCTCGCGCTGGAGTTGGTTCTCCTTGGCCGAAATCTCCTCCTTGAGCTGCTCGATCTGGTGGGTGAGCACCTTGAGCTTACGCTTTGTGTCGCCAATTTCCTCTTGCGCCTCAATCAGGTTCTTGCTGTAAATGTTGCGATCGTTGCGTGCCTGCTCATAGGCGGATTGCTGGTTGCGCAGCTTTTCCTCCGTGTCAGCCAAGCGCTTCTTCAAATCTTCCGTCTGGTTTTCAGCCCGTGAAGCCTCCTCGCTGGCCTCAAGCGCCTTGCGCTGCGCTGCCGCTGCCTCGTTGAGCAGGCGATCACGCTCCTTCTCCAGCTTGGAGATGTCTTGACGCTGTTTGTGACCCTCCTTGCGATAGGTCACAATCTCTGCCTCCAGGCTCTTGGTGGTGTTTTCGTGCATCTTGACCAAAGCCTGCTGGACCTCTGTCTCCTTGCCAGCCTGCAGCATCTTCTTGGTGAGGGCATCACGGTTGCGCGCCAGCTCGTCCAGGCGCTTGCGATCGGCCTCGACTTGCTTGCGAATGGCCTCGAGCTCGCGGGAAAGAGCTGAGGCCTCGTTGAGGGCTTGATCGCGCTGACTGATGAGCTCTGTACGATCCTCCTCGCTTTGCTTGAGCTTTCGTTGCACGGCATCGTACAGCTTTTGCAAACGAAGGAGGTCAGAGGATTGGGTGGCCGCCTCTTCCTCACGCTCCTTGAGCTGCAGCTTGAGACGAGCCGTGAGCTCAAAGGCATTTTGGTTTGCTTGCAACCCCTCTTCAATCTGGCGTTCGAGCTTGGCGTTGCGCTTGTCAAGGTTAGCCAATTCCCCCCGGAGTTTATCGAGCTGATCGTCCTTGGCCCGCAGGGCCTCACGAGCATCGGCCAGCTCGCCTTGTCGTTGGGCCACGCTCTGATCCAGGGCACCCAGGGCTTCCTGCTTATCAGCAATTTCCTGCTTCTGGGCGGCAAGCTCACGTTCCAAGTGAGTCTTGCGACGCTGCTCACGATCAGCCTCGATTCGCTTGGCCTGCAGTTGGTCCTCCAGCTCCTTGATTCGCGCCTCGTTCTAATTTCACCCGAGCCATCCACGTCGACTGAGTCTCGAGAGCGAGCAGACGGCCGAATTGTGGCTTTGTCTCGGCGCATCACCATTCTTCGGTTATGCGACGGGGGAGCCTACCTGTACGCTCGCAGCCTCGGCTTGCTGTTGTTGCGCTTGGAGGTCGGTAATTTCGCGCGTATGCTTGACAATCTGTATGCTCATTTGGGAAAAGAAAAAAAAAAAAAAAAGGTGGAGACTAGCGTAAGATGATCCAGCAATGGCCATCCATATGGCATACATGGTGTTGCTTTACTTCTACTTGTTCCTGACTTTTGTGCTTGATACGAGGGCCAAACAAGCGCGCAACCAGCGATTTGGGAAGCTCTCAGGCAAACTGACCTGCTCGGACATGTTGTCTCGCTCGACCTCGAGCTCACGGCGAGTAGCAATGGCGGCTTGCAGTTGTTCATTGTGTGCCTCGGCTTCTGCGTTGGCATCCTCAATCTGCTGGTGCAGGGCCATAATTTCCTCGCGCAATTCTTCGGCGTCCTGTTTGAGCTTGCTCTCATGCTCGCGGGCCCCATCTACAAGTTTCCAAGCCTCTTCGACCTCGCGCTTGAGCTGGGTCATGGTGCTTTCCTCTTCGTGGGCGCCCTGCATGAATGGCGCCAGCAGGCAAGGCCGGCAAGTGAGAATGGCAGCAGGGTGGTGTGCAGGCCAGAGCTTGCAACTCAGGGTGTACACACGAGAACAAAGGCACGTTTCATGGTGGGGGGCGCCCCATGCGAGGCTGCAGCGGCGCACCTGCATGGCGGATTGCACTTTGGCTGCATTAGCAACAAGCTCAGCGTTGAGGTCACGGCATTTGACCATGAGGCGCTGTTCATTCTGCTGGGATTTTTGAAAGGCTGCGCAACGCACGAGGGGCAGGTTCCAATAGGCACGGATGCTGCTTGAGGAGGATGGGATGTCCGGGAGCTAGGGAGCACGGGGCGGGGCGCTGCACGTACCATCATGAAGCTTGGCGTACTCGTCGCGAAACTTGCCGAGAGCGGGGTCATCTTGGAGCTGGTCCAACACGGCCTATGTAGACCAGTTGAGGACGAGGATCAGACGAGGCAAAGACGCTTCAACCCCACCCCTTGCTGTTGGGCAGTTGAGAGCAGCCAAAGCTGCCTATGCCTGCGCGCTGCACAGATCGGATTTGAGCGTGTGGTAAGTACCTGAAAGTCGACGTCGCCGTCGCCCGCCATCTCGGAGGTCGATCTACTTGCGGGGCAAGCAGGAAGGATGGGGTGCGCGCTGGCGCTACTTGGCTAAGGCCGGCGCCAGCAACCAAAGGGGTGCACCACCCGAAGACACTACGCGAACCAGCGAAGCATTCAGGCATGAGCATGCCCTGTGCTTCGCTTTTACGGATGATCAACTCTCGGCCTTCCTCCTCAGCTCTACCTGCCCCACACCCCCTCCTCGCTCTGTCTACCTCGCCCAGCGTGGAGCCAACTAGACCAAACACAGCAACGTGCGAGCGCCAAGAGCTGGATCGCCAGCAAGAGCAGAGACGGGACACAGCCAAGAGGGAGGTCAAAACTGATCACACAGAGCAATCACGCAAACCAACAGATCCAATGAAAGGGTCCAATAGAGAGATACCAAGCAAGAGCCAAAAGTCCAGAAACAGATGCAAGGGCCGAAGCCGGGACACGGACGCGAGCGACGGAACGAGCAGCCAGACAGTCAGCGCCACCCCGTCCGTCCGTCAGCCGTCGGCGAGCCGTGTTCGTACCTGACGTTTTGGGCGTCCGAGGTGGTTGCTAAGCTCCAATGTACAACGTTACAAACTGACCCCCTTATCAACCCTCTTCCCCTTTGGCTGTGCGATAATGTCAGATTTGATGTATTTGGTGGGGTATGTTTTATTTTGTTGTATGTAATACGCCAGATCAAGCTAGATGAGAAAAGCGTATACGCCAGAAGCACCCAGATAACGCCAAAGCCTCGTCTTTCTTGAGTGATCGCTCTCTCAACCTCTCTCAACCTCTCACCTCAACCTCTCTCTCTCTCTCTCTCAACCTCTCTCTCAACCTCTCTCTCTCTCTCAACCTCTATCTCCCTCGCAAACTCAACTCTCTCTCTCGAACACACACACATTCTCTCTCAAACTCTCTGCTCTCTCTCTCTGCGCTTGGAGGTACGTCGGTCGGGTACGGGCCATCCAGCTGGATGTGCTTGGTGCGGTGCGGGAGGACAGGGTGTGTGGTGGGGTTGGATGGGTCGTTTGACCCTTGAGTGGCGGCTTGATGGATCATAGGTTGGGGATCGTCTCTTTTGGATTTGCTTCAAAGTCTGCGCGCACACACACACACACTGTCGCTCTGGAGGTGGACAGTGACCGTCACGTCATGGACACCTTGACTCGCTTCCTGCACGGCCTCACGCCAACCTCTACCGCCCTTCTCGTCGCTCCGCTGATTGGTACGGGCATGGCTCAGCCATTCCCCCCTTTTTTCCTCCCTGCCTGTGTTGCTCGACGAAACTGACGAGGGTGTTGGTTTTCCTTGCATTTCGTCAACATGATTTGGGCTCCTAGGCGGCTCCCTCTCGGCGAGTTTTTCCAATCGGGAGGCGCGCGGACATTGGTTCTCAGCCTTGAACAAGCCCTTTGCCATGCCCCCCCGCTTTGCCTTTCCCGTCGCCTGGAACATCATTTACTCGTGTATGCCCGCACGCCTCGGACACCACCAACCTCCAGGGTCTGCTTTTTTTTTTTTCCTGTCGGTGCATCTGCTCACGTCCCTCGGCCCCCCTTTTTCCCTTTCCAGGCATGGGCGTGTCCACTGTACTCCTCTACCAGGCCATGGAGGGCCAGATGCGGGCCCATCCTCGCCCGTGGATCCTCTACGCTGCCTTGCTAGGCCTGAACTTTGATTGGAGCACTACCTTTTTCATTCGCCACCGACTCGGCCTCAGCGTAGCCAGTATCGTTCTCCAACTCGGCCTATCCACCGCCTGTATCTACGAGTTTGCCAAGTTCAACACAACCTCGGCCCAACTGCTTGCCCCCCTCCAACTCTGGCTCGTCGTAGCTGGTGTCCTGTCTTTTGATCTATGGCGCAAGAACCCCAAGTTTGATGGCGCCGTCTCTTCCGACGCCTGTTGATGACAACGAGCCCGGGGGGGAACCAACGGGGTCTCCCGAAGTGAAGATGCATCATGCAGCGCATGAAACCCTCTTCTTGAACTGTACCTCCCAGGACTAAGATTGTGAAAAAATCCCCCTCCCCTAAAGGTCAATGTCCATCCCAAGCGAATCGCTGCATGCCATGCATGAATGATCAACAATCGACTCTAATGTCGGGACTGTGGAAAATGTCAATTGGAGTCCACTTGCCCTCGCTCTCGATCGCCTGGGCCAAGCATCAGAAAACCAAACGACAGGATCTTAGTAAGTCACAACGGCACGCAAGCAATCGCCCGAGTGCAGCGCCTCGATGGCATCGTTGATTTGCTCCACGCCCTGTCATGAAGACACACGAGGGAACACGTGAGGAAGCAAAACATCAAGGACAAGGCACCCGGCACGCAGCAGCGGCCGCAGAGGTCATGGACCGGTGACATAAACAATTAAAAACATAAATCAAAGCGAGGCTGCAACCATGCTCTGCCCTTCAAACATCTCGAGACACGTACCTGGAAACGATGCGTGATGTACTGCTCAATGGGCAGTTCACCCTTCATGGAAGACTCCACCAGCTTAGGCACCTAAAAGGTCGACATGGCAAAACATGCAGTGGTGAAAATACATCTCGATGCGCTCCAAAGCTGAGCAAGCGTTATCCGAAGCGGAGGCCGAAACCGAGGGCAGAGCCTGTTCCGCACCTCAGAGCGTGACTTGTAGCCTGTGGGAGATCGAGCAGTCAGGCAAATCGCTGACATGAGCAACAAGGCGAAGAACGGCCACACGGCGCTAGAAGACATTCAACTTACCGCCAAAGGCCGTGCCACCCCACCATCGGCCCGTCACCAACTAACGCCACCAAAGTAAGCCGGGCGGAAGACGATGTGAGCCCAGGTCAAGCAGAATTAGGGTACAAAAGGTATGCATCGTACTTGGAAGGGCCTGGTGGAGATTTCGTGGCCGGCCGCCGCGACGCCAATGACGCAAGATTTGCCCCAGCCGCGGTGCGAGCTCTGATGGCATGGACACAACCCCAGCATTGAGCTCAGCGGGGCACAACGAGACGGAGCAAAAGGGCCGAGGTGGGCAGGTTGAGCAAACCTCGAGCGCCGCGCGCATGCAGTCAGTGTTGCCCGTGCAATCAAAGGTGTAGTCGATACCTAAAGGCAGCGCAGGCGCACATCCGATATGCATGGTCAGCCAGACAAGCCTCGCTGAGCAGATGCAAGCACGTGCGTGCCGTACCCCATTTGGTCTCCTGGATCAAGACTTGTTGGATTGGATCCTCGTGATCGTGGGGGTTGATGCAGTCCGTGGCGCCCATGCGACGAGCAAAGTCAAACTTGTCGTTGTTGGTATCAATGGCAAAGATGCGCTTGGCCTGTGCGTGTGAGCACAAGGATGGGTGGCACAAAGGAGGGTGAATGAAATGAGTGGAACAGCGGTGCACATCGGTCACGATCATAAACGTACGCCGGACATTTTGGCGGCCTGGACGACCGCCAGACCAACAGCACCAACACCCCACACGGCCACAGTGCTACCAGCTTCCACCTAGCCGATACCATGCCGGAGAGAAGCGAGTAGCCGTGAGCACCAGGAATAATGTAGCCACAGTGGTTCATGGGACCGACAAAAAAAACAAACTTTGCAAGTGTTGAAGACGGCACCGAGGCCCGTGCTGATGCCACAGCCAAAGAGGCACATGACGTCCAACGGGGCTTGCTGGTCAATTTTGGCACAAGATATCTCAGCCACCACGGTATACTCGCTGAATAGATGCGTGCACATGCCACGGCCGGCGCCGTGTGAGCCAGCGGAAGAACGCAGAGCCTGAGTGACAGAAGGAATGGGTCAACCAACGTACGAGAAGGTGGAGGTGCCCATGAAGTGGTAGATGGGTTCGCCGTTGATGGAAAAGCGCGAGGTACCGTCGGGCATGACGCCTACACCCAAGCAGAGGGCAGTCAAGGGTGAGTGCGCGGTCATGCACGCTGGTCTGCGAGCGGTGGTGCCGCGGATAAAGTTGACATGTCAAACAAAAAAGGCAATACCTTGTCCCTGAGTGGAGCGGATGGTCGGGCAGAGGTTAGTCTTGGGGGACTCGCAGAAGAGGCATTCACCACACTCGGGCGTATAGCAAGGAATAACGCGGTCTCCTGCAGACAGTGCACGCAAAGGCATTAGAACCGTTCTTGTCCAAGGCGGCCGATGGAGGGGCGCATGGAGAAAGGTCGTACCGGGTTTGACTGAAGTCACGCCTTCGCCCACTGACTCGACAATGCAGCCGGCTTCGTGGCCGAGAATGCTCGGGAACTTGCCTGCGAATGAAGCAGCTCAGGGGAGTAAGACCACCAGTTGACAAGACGTGACTCGAGTAGGCGGGACGTGGATAAAGGGGAGAGGTTGTGAACAGAAGCAGGCTAGCCTACCCTCGGGATCCTGTCCGTTGAGCGTGTACACGTCTAGAACAAGCATTGTAGTGTGGTCAAGAGTGAGGTGACAAGGGGTTCGTGTTACGGATTAGGCGCGTACCATATCCTTTCTATACCTGTGTGGCAGAGGGCGCTGAAGGGGTGGACGATCAGCAAGAGAAGAGTTGAATGAGTCGAACGCGACCGGCCGTTATAACACTGGTGTGAGGCAAACGGTACACTGACTTTGCGACCACTTTGAGGCGCACTTCACCCGCCTTTGGAGGGGCGACCTGGAGGTCAAAGAGGCAAGCAGGCAGCGCGGATCCGGAAGGGATCAGTGAGAAGCGCCCGGACTCCATTCCCGAGTAGCGCTGCAAGCCGTACCGTGACCGTCTCCACAGAGACTGGTTTGTTGGGCTCCCAGGCCACGGCGGCCTTGCACTACACACATGTCAAACGTGGTGAAAATGGGCAAAGCTTCCCGAGCCAAGCGGTGAATTGCGGTCAAGTGGAATCGGGGGAATAAAATGGAAGCGGGCAGAGCCTTAGGATGGGTGAACCTGAATGTCCTTGCCAGCATACTCGCCAAGTTGACGACGCGCTTGAGTTCCAGTGGCAGCAGCGAGCAGGCCCGCCGGGCGTGCTGCCCGACGCTACACATTAAACAATTCAGTGGGTGAGCACCTGACGTTGCGCGCACATGGCCACGAGCACAACCCACGAGGCCACATTGAGCTAGACGCCCAAAACACCCAGACACCTCTCTCTTTTGAGCGCCTGACGAGAACCACTAGCGCAGTCAAAGAACAACGCCTGGAGCACAAAGAAGAGTTTCCCCCCACATACACACTGCCAAAAGCACAAAGCCGTACCAGGACCGTCGTGGTCAACCGTTGTCCCGTCGCCAGCATCATCATCATCAGTCCCAGCAGCAGCAGCAGCAGCAGCAGCAGCAGAGAGAAGAAAAATGAAAATAAAACATGCAGCTGCCTCGGCTGTGGTCAGAGAGAGAGGCTGGCAGTTGACACACATGCAGAGATTGTGGTAATGTGTGATCTGAAGTAGCTTGAAAACCAATGCATATGCAGAGATGATTGAAGATCAAGCGCTTGGTACCAGAGAAGGTTACAGGACGATCCAAACGACTCCAGTCGCACAACCAAAGCACACCCCTCGCGATTGTCTGACATACTTTATCATCATCACTGCGTTCGCGCTGCTACTGCGATGATGCAAGCGGTAGACGAAGGCAGTGATATTTCATTTTCATCTTGTGTGCGGGTTTGCCTCTTGAAGAATTGGAACAAGCGCAAGATTGATGGAACAACAGGTGTTGTGAACGTCATGGCACCCTAAACAGCAGGACACAACATGTGTTCTTGGCCATAGTTTCATCTGCGAATACCTCGCCACCAGCATCCCGATGTCGCAATCCTTTCACCATCATCACAACAGCTCCAAGCCGTCGTCCGTCTCGTTCGCCGGCAGTCAGTCACTGACACTGGCAGCTCGGGGACGCTGCCAGTGACTGGCTCCGCAATGGCAGTGCCGGGCTTGGCTGTACTAGCCGCTGTCCTTGGCTTTGTCTCTGTTTCTAGTCCTGCCTCTGTCTGCGCTCGGGCGCTCATTCACTGCGAGTCAAGACATTGGATGATGCCCATAGGGCCAGTCTGGAAGGATGTACATGTGAGAGCATCCTCACCAAGCGATGGTGGTCACGCCATCCAGGAACGAGTCGAAAGGGAAGACAGACGGCCCCGTGACGGCGCCATGCGCAAAGGGCAGCGGCAGACGGCACCGGGCGACCCGTGCACTGCTTCCCATGAAAAATTGAAAATAAAACGCGCAAAACACCACGACAAATCATGTCGGCAGCGACCCGCAGTGCGTCAGCCATCAAGTCATCCCTTCTTCACAAGTCACACACACATAATGGCTGGCAGTGGCTCTCTCTCTCTCACTCTCTCTCTCTCTCTCTCAATTCTCTCTCTCAAGTCTCTCTCTCAAGTCTCTCTCTCTCTCTCTCTCTGTAACTCTATGGCAGGTCGTCCAGACATCAACGGGCTATCAGCAAGAACAACTTTTTCTCTCTCAGATTTCTCTCTCTCTCTCTCTCTCTCTCTCTCTCTCTCTCTCTCTCTCTCTCTCTCTCTCTCTCTCTCTCTCTCTCTCTCTCTCTCTCTCTCTCTCTCTCTCTCTCTCGTCTCTCTTTCCTTTTGGTCATTTTTTTTTCAGTTGGTCTTGGTCCATCCGCGTCGCGGCACAGTGATTTTGAAACCCCCGACCGTGCGTAAGTTGGCCATGACCTGATTGATCCAGCAGTTGTGTTGTCACTGACCCGTCAGTGGTCTGTTGGGTGAAGGTGTTTTTTTCAAGACAAGACCTGGCTGGCTGCCATGGCACGATGCATCTGGGAGCCGTTGTTGTTGTTCTTCTTCTTCTTCTTCGTTCAATGGCTTGCCTGACTGCCGGCTGCATTGCAACACCCGCGCGTCCACAGATATACCTTCGGATAGCCTCCAACGCTCTCCGCCACGATGGCGCTCGTTCGCTCCATCCAGCAAACCGTCCGGTGGGTCCGGTTCACCTGCCACCCATTCCCTGCCTCTGCTTCGCCCACGCACTGACTTGACTGCTGCACGGGCCTGGATGGCGTAGCACCACTGGTGTTCGTGCTGCCCAGCAGGTGCGCGCTCTGGGCAACGGCCTGCCCCCCGTGTACAATGAACCCGTTTGGGACTACGTCAAGGGTGTCGATGATGACAACCGCGCCAACATTCGCGAGGTGTGTCCCCATGACCTCGGTGGCTCGTCAATGCACCGTACCGTCCCCGCCTGCGCTCGCTCTGCCCCCCTGCCCGTGGCCCATTCTGGAACGTCCACCACCCCTTTTGTCCCCTAGGCTTGCCAAGTGGTTCGCAATGAAACCGTGGACATTCCCTGCGTCATCAACGGCGAGGAAATTTACTCGGGCAACACCGTGGACCAGCTCGCTCCCTCCCAACATGAACTCACCATCGCCCGTATCCATCACGCCGACGAAGCCATGATCAAGCGTGCCATTGACGTGGGTCCCCATCTTCCTTCTTCTTGCTCAGAGCCCTAAACCTCTCCTTTTATTCTCTGCATTGCCAGGCTGCTGAGATTGGGACAGATCAGCCCGTCTCACCTGCGTTTGGGCCTCGCCTGTTCATGTCCTAGGGTGCCGTGGAAGCTCGTAAAGAGTGGGAGCTCATGCCCTGGGAACACCGGTTCGTCACTTGCCGCTTTCGTTTGCGGATCCCAGCCCATCCATCCCAAGCCCCCGTGTCCTCCCGTGCCTCGTCCCCTGTGGGGTGTCTCTGTCTCTTGTCTTTGTAGATGATGGCCACTCACTTTTTTTTTTTTTTTCCATCTGTGCGGCTGTCTTTTAGAGCGGCCGTCTTTCTCCGCGCTGCGGATATGCTCACCACCGAATACCGCTTCCGTGCCTTGGCCACGACCATGATTGGTCAGGGCAAGAACGTCTACCAAGCTGAGATTGATGCCGCCGCCGAGGCCGCTGATTTCTTCCGCTTTGGTGTCCAGTGAGTTGCTGACCCTCAAAGCGATCGTCTGGTTCTTGCTCTCCTCCGCATCTTGCTGACACTGCGTGCCGCCCTTTATGTTCCACACCTGTTAGCTATGCCAACGAAATCTTGCACCAGCAGCCGGAACACCACGCTGCTCACGTCTGGAATCGCTTGACCTACCGAGCTCTCGAGGTACTACTGCCCACGTTGTCCCGTCACTCCCAGCTGACCGCCCTAGCAAATTGTCCCAACGCACCTCTGACGTCAATGTTCCCCGTGCATCCGGCTCTCCATCCACTACACTAGGGCTTTGTTGCGGCTGTGCCGCCCTTCAACTTTACGGCCATTGGCGCCAACCTCGGCGCCTGTCCTGCCATCATGGGCAACTCGGTTCTCTGGAAACCCACTGAGACGGCAGCCCTCAGCAACTTTACCATCTTCCAAATCCTGCGCGAGGCCGGCATTCCCGATGGTGCGTGTCGCCTCTTTTTCCCCTGACGGCTGGTCGCATCGCGTCAGCCTGCCCCCGTCCTCCGCTCACAAGGGCCCGATTGTCGGAGGGGAGCAGGTGTGATCCAATTTGTCCCCTCATACGGCCCGACCTTTGGTGACACGGTGGCCGCTGATCCCCGCCTCGCTGCCATCAACTTTACGGGCAGCACCAAGTACGCCCGCCTTTTGCCACGCTGTGTCATGCGCAGCTCCCCCTCGCATCCGGCAGCTGGCAGGACCCTCCAGCCGCCCCTGTCCCTGCATGCATTCACGGTGTTTTGCCCTCTTCTGGTCGTAGAACCTTTGACCACCTGACGCAGCTGGTGGCCAGCCGCGTCTCGACGTACAACACTTACCCCCGATTGATTGGAGGTGGGTCCATCTGAGCGCCTCGTTCCGCGCGGCTCGGTCACGCGATGGGGGCCCCTCGGATAATCGGCTCCGTTGTCCGCTGCCTTGCTTCATAATGTGCCATGGCATGCGTCGGCTGCTGCGCATAGAGTGTGGTGGTAAGAACTTCCACTGGCTGCACGAATCGGCCGATGTTGAGGACACGGTCAACGGCACCATCCGCTCGGCCTTTGAGTACCAGGTACGCTCCCCAGTCCGGTGGCGCTTGCACACACCACACGACGGGTTCTTGGCATGAGCTCGCATTGGTGGCCTGTTGGACATTGCGGGCGCGTTTCGACTCATTCTTTCATGCTGCAATCCCAGGGTCAAAAGTGCTCCGCCTGCTCGCGGGTGTACGTGCCTCGCAGCCTGTGGCCCGAGTACAAGGCCGGCATGATTGAGGCCCTCAAGGAATTGCGCGTCGGTCAGCCGGATGAGTTTTCTTCCTTCATGACGGCCGTCATTGACGAGAAGAGCTTTGACAAGATCTCTGGTTACATTGAGCACGCCCGTCAGAGTGATGACTACGAGATTCTCTTTGGCGGCGAATGCGACAAGAGGTTGGTGCACTGCCGACCTCGCTTCCAGTATTGTGGCCGTTTGAGATCTCATCCTCAAGCTCACTGGCACGGCTTTGGTTGTGCGTGCCCACAGCACGGGCTACTTTATCCAGCCAACCATGATTCAGACGACCGACCCCAAGTCCCGCCTGATGCAGGAGGAGATTTTCGGCCCCGTGGTGACGGCCTATGTGTACGAGGATGAGGACTGGGAGTCATGCCTTCAGACTGTCAACGAGACCTCGCCCTACGGTCTCACCGGTGCCGTCTACGCACGTGATCGCTCTGTGATTGACACGAGCCTCCGGGTGCTGCATCACGCCGCCGGCAACATCTACGTACGGGGTGCACTCATGCGCGCACGACCGCGCACTGGCCGCTCCCCTTTTTTGTGGGCTCACCACCCTGGTTTTCATGTGTCATGCCGTGCATTGAATTGTCGCAGATCAACGCCAAGTCCACGGGTTCTGTGGTGGGCCAGCAACCCTTTGGTGGCGCTCGTCGCTCGGGCACCAACGACAAGGCAGGTGCCGCCAACTACCTCCTGCGCTTCACTTCCATCCAGTCCGCCAAGGAGTGCCTCTACCGCCTCGTAAGTGTCTTGAACCTTGCTGTGCATCTGCCGGCCGGAGTGCGATTGCCTTTTGCTCACAGGCCATGCCCGTTTGCCTTGTATGCTTGGCGAAATCAATTTTCGCCTCATTTTCGATTAATTTTCGATTAATTTTCAATCCTTTTTTTTTTTTTTTTTTTTTTTCCCGGGACCGGCCCTTGTAAACTTGCCATGAACAGCCCGACTGGCGCTATGAGTACATGGAGGATTAAGTGTGTTGTTTCCTTGTTTCTCTTCCGCTTTGACCTATCTGGAGAGGGAGCCTTTGGCGCTGTCCCAGCCACTTTGAATGAAGCTTGTTACCCAACAAGAATTAAAATGATGGTTCCAACAGAACACGACATGATTTGATGTTTGGATGGATGGTGGCGTGGTTTCATGCCAAAAGAGAGAATGAGAGCAATACAGAAAGAAAGAAAGAAAGAAAGAAAGTTGATGATGCAGGTCATTCGGAAGAAGGAGCAGCCAGTTACACCGGCGTACAAGTTTGCACCTGCCATGCCGCCATCAACTTGGTGTTATCCCCCCTGGCCATAAGCACCGTCATGGCAAGCGTCGTGCCTGACTCCCGCTCATCGCAGCCGTCAATGTCAGACAATATTTGTCAGACGACATGTCAGACGAAATAAAGGTTGCTTACATGCACGGAGAGAGAGCTCTCGGGTGGGAAGGGGTGGGCTTGGCTTGGCTTGACGACTGGCGGGTGGATATGGCATCCAGATGTACGTTATCATGTTCTGCTTGGAGAAGGCGATTGATTATCCCATCGGTGGACGTGATGGCGAGGGTTGACTCACGGATTTATTAGCGGCGACCCCAATCAAAATCGAGACGCACGCGCGAGGGACGGTGGCACGAAGGAATGAGACGACAGAGCCGCGGACGAAAACTCGCGCAGAAGGATGATGTTTTCCTGCGGTGGGTGCTGAACCCATACGCATGCTCGGGGCCCACGCCACGGCATGCGCGCGCCAGTGCAAAATAAAAATTTAATAATGGTCCACAGGGCTGTTGGTGAAACAATCACCTCCCCTTGGCCCCCACCCCCGACAGCCAGGAAACAATCAGCGTTCCATTCCCACAGCTGTTTCGCTTCCCCGACGCGCCAATGCGACCACGAACACCATCGCGTCGTCGATCAACAAACACCTGGGCTGTGGCGTTGGTCCAGCGTGAAGACACGTCACGTGCACATGAGTGAAAAATGGCTGCTCCTCCCGGTTTCGAGCGCTCCATCTGCATGCTTCTCTCTCACACACGTCACACGTCCTGGGGAGGTGTGAGGGACGGTCCCTGCGTCCCCGTCGTCACGGGTTTGCCAAAATTGTGTTGGCAAACGCATGGCGGCAATGCTACCCCAAGACTTGTCCATCTAAAGGCCTTGAACTTGGTTGTCCGACTCTAAGACAGGGGGTTTCCAAAGGTACATAATGTCTTCATCTTGGGCTGGCCACTCGGGTGTGTCCTATGATGACTGGAAAGTGCGCCGCCGGCCGTACGGTGGCCGGCTGCATCCTACACAGGGGGGGGTCTTGGGGCAGCGTCCTGGGCGCTGAAACCAGTCATTGTCGACGGAGAGACAGATACCTGGCTTCACTGAACCTCGCATCATCTGCGATCACCTCCCTTCCCCAATGATGGCGGCGGCAGAAGGAGGAGCGGAGGCTCGTCCTCGCAGTGTAAGTGTAATTGATTTCAAAATCACTGACAAGGTCCAGCCATGTGGAGGCTGGCACAAGCCACCTGTATCTCTCTCCATAGCTCGTCCCGGCTCCCCTCTTGCTTACGACCCTGACCAACGCAATCAGCGAGTCAAACCTTACAACAAATCAGCAGCGGCCGTCCAAAAGGACGAACCGGACCAGACGATGGTGCAGACGATCCCACAACGCACCCGCTCTCCACCGCCTCCCCACCGCAGATCCAGCGCCAATTTCAAAAAAAAAAAAAAAAAAATGGCAAAAGTCGCATTCCAGCGGACAAGGTGGGGCATAGCAGGTTGGCTCAACCGTTGCACGCACCATCGGGGCAGGGGGCACCTTGCTGGCCCGAGTTTTCCAAAATGCTTTTGCCCAGCGCAGGAGGCAGCACTGCCGAATCCTGACAGGTACGATCGCAAAGCGCACCCTTCGGCCGGGACTTTGTCCAGCCCCAAGGAAAGTAATCGTGTCCGCTGGCATCGCTCGGCTCGGCTCGTCCGTTTGTTTCGACGGTTGAGCATGGTCCGCTGCCTCGTCCGTTATTCGCCAACAGTGGACCGCGGGCTTTTTGGTCTCATTGCATTGCCCGCCATCATGGCTGGCACATTCCAAGACCCGTGTCCGCCTGCCTTTGTTTCCTTCAGCTGGTGGAGTCAGCCATGACGCGCTTCTGCACGGGCTGATGAAACCACAGCCCCGTCCTGTAACTTTCAAAAGCCAGCGCGTGGTCAGTCTTGTGCAGCGGACACACACGAACCGTGTGCACACACCGAAATTCTCCCTTGGACTCTGGTTGCAACTCTTGACGAGAGCCCCAAGCAGTGCGCCCCTTCTCCACCCGTTCGTCCCCTTCCCCAGGACGCGCTCGGTCAGCTTAGTTTGGTTTGCCCCCACCTCTATCACTCGTTGTCGTCGTCACCTTGGGCTTCAACCGTCGGCGCTTGAATTTTTGTGCTCTTGTGAGGCGCTTTCCACGTGAGGCAGTGAAAGCCCTCTTGCTCAACTCACAGCTCCTCCACCAGCGGGAAATAATTTCGCCGCTCAAGTGCGGGCCAAGCCCTCGTCCGGTCCAGTTTCTTCCGACGGCCCCACCTGCACGTCAACACGGCCTCCCTTTACTGGTGTGCCCGTGGTGCTGCTTCCGTCCTTTGCACCTGACCTTGCCCTTCCCCCAAAGTCTACCTGATCTTCCTCAGCACAAGTTGGCAGTCAAGCGCCGCCCCTGCCCGCCCGCCAAATCGCAGCAGGCTTGGCACGACGACCGTCATTATGCGGGCCGTCATCCTCGCCCTTGCCGTGGCCGTCGCCGCTGGCAACCTGATTGTGGTGAGTGGCCAACTCGGGGACCGCTTGTTCCACGCTTGCGCTTTTGGCGCCAGCACACTCGCTCACTGGTAGTCGGGGAAGGAAGCCGGAGCACAAGCCAGAGGCAGAGCTAAGACGAATAGCTGCAAGTGGTTGCAAAGACACAAAGCGAATACGCTTTCACCCGCTCGGCAGCTCATTTCTTCTTCTGGTGGTTGCCTGCCGCGGTTTAGAACCCGAGTTTTGAAGACCCCGACACCTCCACTTGGTCTGAGGTGGCTACGGTAAGACTTCTTTTGCACAGTGCTTGGCGCCCCGAGCAGTCGCAGCAAACTGACCACAAATCTCGGGCGTGATCGATAGGGTTGGACCCTTAGCACCGGCAACAATGGCCAGGGCGTGTTCAAGCCCGGAGCTGGCGCCTACACTGATCCCGTTCCCGATGGCACTCAGGTACGACTCGTGTCTTTCTTGTCGATGGCTCAATACCATGGATGCTCTCAAAGAAAACCGGGCTCTCACCCCACTGTGACTTGCATGTGCGTGTGACACCCGCCTTGCCCCTCCTAGGTGCTTTTTCTCAAGCCTTCCAAGTTTGCCCGTCAGACCTTCAACCTGGTCGCTGACGCCAACGAGAACTGCTACCTCAACTTCTCCGTCGGTCGCCGCCTCGATATCGCCTTTGTCAGCTCAGTGACCGTCCTCATGGCCACTACCGACAACCTTGAGACCTTCATCACGGTACGACCAGCCTTGCCCACTTCTGCCTTGGCGCAGAGGATCCCATCTCAACTCATCATATGGCTTGCCGCGGTTCCTGTAGGACTCATTCACGGCCAGCGACATTTCGCTCGCAGCCGGTGAATTTGTTGAAGTTTCGTACTCCTTTCAAACCAGCACCGCCGTCAACACAGCGTAAGCTCGGGTTTCGCCTTGATCCTCCCGTCATCCGCCTTTTATACAGGGTCAAAACTCACGTGTTGTTTCCTCGGTATTTCTTCCGGCTTGCAGGGTTCAGCTCGAGTTCTCCGCACCTGGCTCTGTGAGCAATGTGCAGGCCAACTTTGACGACGTCGTCTTCTACTGCGGCGCCGCGCCCACCACCACGACTCCTGAGCCCACCACCACGACCCCCGAGCCCACCACCGCGAGCCCACTCGAGCCCGAGTTTGCCATCAACAACGATTGCGTCGAGCTTATCCTGGTACGACCCCTGTCTTGTTTGCCAAAGGCCACATCTCACGTTGCCGCCGCCTGAGTGGACGCGTGCTAATACAAACACACCACACTTCCTGGCCGCATTGATAGAACCCCAGCTTTGAGACCCCGGACGTGGCCACTTGGAGCAACGTCGCCACCAACTGGACCCTCAGCTCGAGCCGTGCCGGAGACCAGGGTACCTACAACCCCGGTCTCACTCAATACGACGAGCCCATCCCCGACGGCACTCAGGTTCTCTTCTTGAAGCCCGGAGCATGGGCCACGACAACCACCCTGGTCAACGCACCCGCCGATGAGCAGTGCAGCCTTGCTATCAGCGTGAGTCAGGCCAATGCTCTATTTGGCGCTCGTCCGCACCTGCCGGTCGGGTCCTGGTTGCTTGCATCGGGCTCGCTCTCATTCCACGTGTTATTTATTTCCAACAACAGATTGGCAAGCGCCACGACCACGCCTTTGTGCCTTCGGCCACGCTGACTGTGACAGATGCCAGCAACACCAACACCTTTTTGACCCAGACGTTCAACCAGTCTTCCATCGGTCTCGTGTCCGGCTCCTTTGTGCGCCTTCAGTACGACTTTACCTCGACTGGTGCCTCGGGCTCGGAGCCTTTTACGATCCGCATTCAGGCCAACGGCGCTTTCGCCAACGTCCAAGCCAACTTTGACCATCTCCAGCTGGCCTGCCCCTCGTTCTGCACCGAGTACATTCCCGACACTTGCTTGTATGGCGTCGAAGAGCCCAGCTTTGAGAATGGCTTCCAGGATTGGGAGATTGAGGGTGACGTTGACCGCGTGAGCGTGTCCAGTGGTGCCTTCCCCGTGTCTGGCGCCGCGGATGGCAGCTATGTGCTGACGGGTACCAATGCCAGCCTCTATGCGCCCACTGCCGTCCCTCGCGACATTTACTCTCTCGTTGAGGTGTCTTTCAACGCCGGTGCCCTGACCACTGACAACGCCACCGGCTGTACGTTGTGTCTTTGACTCGCTCTCTTTTACATCACAGCTGGCTTTTGAGCAAGTGTCCCGTTTCTCACCCACACGGTGCTGTCTTGTTTTTACAGACATTGTCGTGTTCCTCACGGACGGCGATGGCGTTGACCTGGCTGCCGAGACGGTCATCCCCGCTGATGTTGAGGACACCTCCAACTTTGTGCTGGCCTACTACGATGAGTTTGGTTCGTTTCACTGTCACCTGGCGCGTTTGAGGATCTTTCGGTCCCTTCCAACTGCGTCTGCCTTTGTTGCCACGCGCCTCTCACCGATTCGCCTTTCATAGGTGCCACCGATGCTTACTATGGCGTGCGTATCGAGTTTGTCGACGACAACAGCATGCTGTACATTGACAACATCTGCCTCAGCGTTACGGATGTCACCCCGTAAGTTTTCGTCGATGTTTCCCCGAGCACGGAGGAAGGGGGCACCACGACGCCGCTTCACGATCCTTTCCTGTGCCCGCACCATAGTAAGAGCAGCACCTCTACGTCTTCGTCTACCTCTACCGATCCCATCACTGTCGACGTCTTCAGCGGATCGTTCGGTGACTGTGAGCCCCCATCACCAGCCCTCTCTTTTGAGAATGAGGACATTGGCGATGGTGAGGCCTTTGTCATGCCCAACGGCACCAGCGCCGACGATTGGTTTTACACCAGTGAGGGCATTACCTTCATCTATGAGAACCCTGCCCTTTTCTCGAGCGACTTTGACATGGCCGCCCACAGCCAGACTTTTGGTTATTTCAACGCCTCAGAGGCCGCCGGCGCTGGTATCTACACCATGTACAACTTCGACTACGTTGGTCTTTCCACCTACTCAATCAACTACTGGGTCGCCCGTCGTGAATCCACGGTATGATGCGCGTGCGAATGTTCCTCACTGTTTGTTATTCATCCGTGATGCACGCTTGACGACACTCACTTCTGAATGCTGTCTACGCGTGACCCTTTCCGTTGTTCTATGCTTTGTAGAGCCCCAACTCTGGTCTGCTGATCGAGTTCCGCGACGGCGACAACAACTTGATTGCTGCCAACGCCATCAGTGCATCTAGTCTCACCCTCAACGAGTGGACCGCTCAACAGCTCAACTACACCTTTGAGCGTGGCACCGACTACATTGGCGAGTCACTCCGCATTGGTATTCGCGCGACTGGTCTGGGCGAGTCGCCCGTCATCGACGCCATCTTTGTGTGCTTTGGCGGCATGACCTCTTCGTCGACCTCAACTTCGACCTCGACCTCGACCTCGACTTCGACGTCCACCTCGACCTCGACTTCGACGTCCACCTCGACCTCAACCAGCACCTCGACCTCGACTTCGACCTCCACGTCGACGTCGACCTCGACCTCGACCTCCACGTCGACGTCGACGTCGACCTCCACGTCTTCCTGGACCTCGACGTCGACCTCGACCTCGACGTCGACCTCGACTTCCACCTCCACCTCGACCTCCACGTCCAGCTCGACCTCCACGTCCAGCTCCACCTCGACTTCCAGCTCCAGCTCGACCTCGACCTCGAGTACCACTTCCACCTCCACTTCCACCTCAACTTCAACCAGCACGTCGACCTCGACGTCAACCCCTTACTTCTCCCGCGAGCCGGTGGCTTGCAGCTCTTGCCAGAACCACTTCCAAGCTTGCGTTGGCCAGGAGCTCCTGGAGCCCTTTTACGACTATGATGCGTGGGCCAGCTGCATCGTCGATGGCGGCTACCACTCGGCCTCAGCCGCGTCGGATCTGGAGAATAATGTGTGTGGTTGCCCCACAAGCGTCAGCACCGCTGGAACTGCCGAGGATGCCCTGTTGGACATGCATCTCATGTTCAAGTGCTGGTACAAGTGCGCCACTAGCCTGAGCGACGCCTGCTACACATCCAGCTCCACCTCGACAACCACCTCGACCTCGACTTCGACCTCGACCTCCACGACCACGTCTACCTCGACCGACACAACGACCAGCACGTCCACATCGACCTCGACTTCGACGTCCACCAGCACCTCCACCAGCACTTCGACCTCGACGTCCACCAGCACCTCAACCAGCACTTCGACCTCAACCTCGACCTCGACCTCGACTAGCACTTCGACCTCGACGTCCACCAGCACCTCGACCTCGACCTCGACTTCGACTTCGACCTCCACGAGCACCAGCACCTCCACGAGCACCTCCACCTCAACGAGCACCTCGACGTCCACCTCCACCAGCACCTCCACCAGCACCTCAACCTCCACCAGCACCTCAACCTCCACCAGCACCTCCACCAGCACGTCGACCTCGACCTCGACCTCCACCAGCACGTCGACCTCGACCTCGACCTCCACCAGCACGTCGACCTCGACCAGCACATCCACCAGCACGTCGACCTCCACCAGCACATCCACCAGCACGTCGACCTCCACCAGCTCATCCACCAGCACGTCGACCTCCACCAGCACGTCGACCTCCACCAGCACGTCGACCTCGACTTCTTCCAGCACAAGCTCATCCAGCTCGACTTCGACCTCGACCTCGTCATCCACCTCCTCGTCCAGCTCGACGTCGACTTCGACTTCAACCTCGACGTCAACTTCCACCTCCACCACGCTCGACTTCTGCGAAGAGATGTGCATGCCTGGCTTTGCCAACAACCGCGTGGATGTGGATAGTGCCATCGCTGGCGCCACCAACGTGGCCATGGGTGACCTCGACAACGACGGTCTGGAGGACCTGGTCGTCTCCGCCATCGATTCCAACCAATTTGTCATCTACTTTGCCAACGGAGACGGCACATACGATTCTCAAGTCCTTGACACTCGTACGGACGGTCGCGACACCGGTATTGCCGATTTCGACTTGGATGGCGATCTCGACATTGTGACTGCTTCGCGCTCTGGAACCCCTAACGTTCGCGTCTTTGAGAACACCGGCTCACGCAGCTTTGCTGCCGCCTACGACTTTGCTCTTCCCGACAGCATCAACGTGGGTGTGGCTGACTTCAACAACGACGGCCTTCCCGACTTTGTCACGTTGGCCCGTGCATCAAGCCAGATTGTGCTCTTCACCAACGATGGCAGCTTCTCCTTTACCGAGACTGTCATGGCCAACTTCACGGGTGCGGGTCCCTTCCACTTGACCACTGGTGACATTGACAACGACGGCGACATGGATATTGTGGTTGCCTCGACTGACTCACCCGTGGGTGGTGCCGGTCTTGTTATTCTGGAGAACATGTGGGATGGCTCTACCGTTTCATTCGGCCAGACCGTGCTCTCTCAGTCCACCTCCAACCCCCGTGGCGTTCGTCTTGTTGACTTTGACATGGATGGCGACCTCGACCTCTTTGTTGCGGCGCTCAGCGACAACGGCGTCTGGTTCTTTGAGCAGATTGCCCCCGGCGAGTTTGACAACGGCACGAAGATCTTTGTTGATGCCTACACGGCGACCTTTGTTGACGTTGCTGATGCGGACCGCGATGGCATCCCCGATGTGATTGTTGCCGCTCGCTCGTCCTCCACCGTCTTCCTCCTCAACGGCACTGACATTCAGACCGCCATTGTGACGGGCAATCCCATTTCCTACTTTGCGGCGACCATCATTGCCGACGATCTTGATAACATCCGCGCATCGCGCTTCCTCGACGTGGATGGCGATGGCGATCTTGAGATTGTGACTGCTGCCAAGGGCTCGGGCATGCTTTCCATCTTCTACAACGACTGCTGCAACGTGCCCAGCGATGGCGTGCCCAGCACTTCCTCCACCACGACCACGACCACGACCACGACGACGACCACCACGACCACCACGACCACCACGACCACCACCACCACGACGACGACGACCACCACGACGACGACCACCACCACCGTGGCTACCACCGTGGATGAGTGCCCTGTGCCCGAGGGTGGTTGCACCTCCGAGCCCCTGGTGCCCCAACTGGCTGCTGGTGACGCTTTGGGTGCCCATCACGTGCAGGCCGCCGACATGGATGGTGACGGCATCTTGGATGTTGTTGTGGCCGAGTCCAGCGGCAACCGTGTGCGCTGGTACAAGGTTCAGGCTGGCTTTGCCGTCGTTGCTACTGATGTCTACGATCTCGGCTCGGCCAGCGGCGGCGATCCTCGTTCCATCCAGGTGGCCGACTTTGATAATGATGGCGACATGGATGTCGTCATTGTCTGGCAAGGCGTGCACTACGTCACTGTCCACTACAACGACGGCGCCGGTGTGTTCCTTCCTGGCGACTGGAAGACGGTCGACAGCGATCTCGTCAAGCCCTTCAACAGTGCTACGGGTGATCTCAACAACGATGGCTTCATGGACATTGTCGTGACGGATCGCGGTAGCGACAGCATCATCATCTACTACAATGATCAGACTGGTGACTTCACGGCCTCGGGCATCATCACGCAGGTCGACGGTGCGTACGGCGTTGAGCTGGCTGATGTAGATGGCGATGGCAACGTGGATATTGTCGCCGGTCTTCGCAACAGCGACGTTGTGGCCGTCTTTTACAACAACTTTGTTTCGGGCAGTGGTCTGTCCTTCTCTCGTGCCATCATCAGCCAGACGACGGCCTGCGACGACCCTCGCTCCGTGTCTGTTGGCGACATCAACAACGACGGTCTCATGGATATTGCAGCCGTGTGCATGGCTAACGGCCAGGTGTACGCTCACTACCAGGGTGTCAGTGGCGACTTTACTCAGGTCCAAGTTGCCTCGGGCCTGGACCAGCCCTTCACCATCGAGATGGGTGACCTCACCAAGACCGGTCTGCTCAGCATGGTGGTGGGCGACCGCAGCTCGGGCGACCTCATCCAATTCGACCAGTATCCCGCGGGCAACTTCACGTCGACGGTGCTGGCCGGCACCGCCTCCTCGAACTGGCGTGATGTCACCATTGCCGACTTTGAAGGTGATGGTGACTTGGACATCTTCGCTGCCTCAGCCGGCGAGGATCTGATCCAGATGGTCCTGAGCACGTGCTGCGTGTAAGAGCCTCCAGCCAGATTCTTGTTTGTGACGTGCTCTATTAAATGTCCTGTTGCTCCTACACATTCTCCCTTTTCCTTTTTTTTTTCTTGTGTTTTTTTCTTGTGCACCCCCTTACCCTTGACCTGTTGTCCATTAACCGCACTACGCCATTTCGCGATCTCGCTAATGTCGTGGCGGGTTTGACATGAACGCTGTGTTTTCTACTTCCCTGAATGATGAGACATGATCAATCTGCCCTTTCCCGCATGTTTTTGGCCCCTCTCTCGTTTGTGTGGCCAATTTGAAGGATGTTCTAATCCGAGATAGTTATCGCCAGCCGTGTGCGCCCAGCCGTGTGTCGGCGCACCCTCGATGCTGCTGTCCCAATTTAAACCTCATAATTTGCTTCTCTCCTCCCTCTCCTCCCTCAATGACTTCCTCCAATCTTCCTTTCCTCCCTCCCATACAAGGCTCGAATGACAGCTGAATTGCGCGCCGTCATTGCAGGCCAGAGAGTCACCATCATCATCATCATCATCATCATCGCAAGCGTTGTCGTCATTTTCAAAAGACACTCGATTCCAGAGCCTTTGCAAATCCTGAGTGCATTTTCAGAGAGTATGCGAGTTCATGAGACTAAATCTGAGAGTTTAGCTTAAGTTGTTCCGTCAAATAAGAGAAGCACCAGGTACCGGTTCTCGTTCTAGAGAAGAAGTCGACGCGAGACATTGGGAAATTTTCAATTTTCTTCTTCTGCTTTCTTCGTCTCGTTCAGTGACCAAGTCAGTGGCGTGCGAGCCGGCGCGGGTGCTCGCCTCAGCCTTGGGCTGAATGCAGCCGTTGGCGATGGGCATTGGCTTGATGGGACAGAGAAGGACAGAGCGTTGCACGGCAGTAGGGCTCACGTGTGTGTTGTGTGTGTGTGTGTGTGTGTGTGTGTGTGATTGTGTCTAGTTACCGATACCATGGCCTTTGTGACCAACGCACTTCGCGCGCTGCGCCCCAGCCTGCCCATCCTCAGCCGCCGCACCATTTCCATCGTACGGGCCTTTGCGAGCGGCGTGGAGTTTTGGGGTGTCGCTGGAGATTGGGCGACAGGCTATTCGGCATGGCTGATTGACATGCTTTTTGCTTGTTGCAATATTGCAGGCGGAGGCTCGTGTTACCAGCCCAGCCCCCTTTTTCAAGGCGGATGCGCTGGTCAATGGCACCGAGTTCAAGACAGTGTCCCTCGATGACTACAAGGACAAGGTTGGTCGTGCGCCTGTCCTGTCAGCTGTCAGGGTGCGGCCAGTGGCCATGCAAGACTGGCTTGAGCTCACAGTCTGTTGGCCGCGATGTATGCATGGACCGGGGCGGCGCTGGTCTCTAGTACTTGGTGCTGCTGTTTTACCCGGTATGTTGCGTTGTGAGCTTGCTCGCGACGGCAGGCCTGTAGCTGTCGCGTGTCTTCTCTGCTTCTGGAGTCATCGGCAACTGGCTACAAGCTCTCATTTCATCATGCATGATTCTTTTTTCCGTTTGTATGTAGCTGGACTGGACCTTTGTGTGCCCGACAGAGATTACTGCCCATGCGGATGCCCAGGAGGAGTTTGCCAAGCTCAATGCCGAGGTCAGAGGGCCGAGATCTTGCCCCGAACCCATCTGCCTCGGTGTTCGGCAGAAGGGCAACAAAAGCCGATTTTTGCTCCCACGTCCTGGTCTCCTCGTACTCGTTGTTGCTTCCCTCACGGTATCCCTCTTGGGGTGGTCGGGTACCAGGTGGTGGCCGTGTCCACCGACAACAAGTTTTCCCACTATGCCTGGGCTCAGCACCCGCGCAAGGAGGGTGAGTCTGGGGCAGGTCTTGTGTGGAGGCCATGCTTGTTGGGTCGCCGCTGACTACTCCCAAAGCTTGGCCAGGAGACGTTGGGGGGTGGGTTGATGACGTGATGCTCAATGCTTGCTGCGTGCCTGACACTAGGTGGTCTTGCGCCCATCACCATGACCATGATTGCGGACCAGACGCGGGCCATGAGCCGCACCTATGGCTGCTATGTGCCTGATGATGGCTTCAACCTGCGGTCAGTCGCTCTGGCGTGCGGGTGGTTTGCACAGGCGGCACGAGGGCCCAGGGTGGGCCTTGCGCGCCCAATGCTCATGGGGGACCGTGTGCCACTTTTGTCAGCGCAACCTACATCATCGACAAGAGCGGTGTGCTGCGCCATGCGCAGATTACTGATCGTTCCGTGGGCCGCTCCGTGGATGAGACATTGCGCATTATCAAGGGTGGGTGTTTTTTGTAATTATCGCGCGCCGTGTGCGTTTATTATGGATGAGAGGCATCACACCCCTTAGCCCACGGCTCACCGACCTGTCGTGCCATGCTGAAACAGCTCTCCTGTTTGCCGAGGAGCACGGTGAGGTCTGCCCAGCCAACTGGCAGCCTGGATCGGCCACGGTAAGCGCGTTTGACATGCTTGGGTGATGAGTCATCGCAAAAGTTGAGCTTTTGCTATCCAGAAATAAAAGAAAGGACGAGTGGGGCAACGCAGACCCCGACTGACATGTTGTCGGTTGTCGTGCTGATTGTCGTGCTGATTGTGTCCCTCCTCCTGCAGATCAAGGGCGATCCCGAGCTTAAGAAGGAGTACTTTTCCACCAACGCTTAAAGCTGGTGCGGAGCGAGCTGAGCTCCGAACAGTTGATAACTACTGTTGCGCACAGTATCTGGATATGCCTGCACGCACGCAATTCAGTTCTCACGTCATGTGAAAGAGACAGAAGAGAGAGAGAGATCAAAAGAAAGAAAGAGAGAGAAAGAAAGAGAGAGAGAGAGAGAGAGAGACAGGACTTGCAGGTTTATGTCTTTGCATGCACGCATTGTTCGCGGCGCGTTGAATCTGTTTTACCAAGTGTGTGGTGCACATCAAAGGAGGATGGGTGTTGTTGTTGGTAAAACAATACAATGACCCTTCTTCTCCCACAGCCGCTACCAAAGAATAGCAGTAACACGAACACCCACCACTCGTCGATCAACACGATACAGGAGCACTGCCCAACACAACAAGCAAGGCAAAGCAAGTGGATGAATACACATGGGGATGAGAATAAAATGCAAAGCAATTGATCGACCCCAAGGAAGATCAAGATCAGGCTCGTGGGTGAGCTCGGCCGTTTTTGCCCCTCCGGTGCCTGCGTTTGTTTCCATGGTCCAGCGGAGCGGCCAAACCACCTTTTCCATCAAGTACAGCTGCCAGGCCAGCCCACGGGTACGCTGGCGGCGCCTTGTCTCCAGAACCATCGCTGGTGTTCTCCCATCTGCTCGTGCTGCCTCTACTCGCGATTCGCCCGCGCTGCGTTTCGATCGGTGCAGAATGCCACAGGCTATAGTGCTTCTTCACTCATTGATTGTCGTGTCGCCGGTCCGCCTGCGCCTTGCCGCTTCTTGACGACGCGTTCAGCAGTTTTGGGGTGCGGTCTTATACGCCGTGCTCTTCACGCCGGCCTCGCCCCGCACGTGTCATCAGGTAGAAGAACACACTAGCTTGGTATGCATTCTGCTCCCCCCCCTCTCCTCTTCTTTTGGTATTGACCTGCCTCTCTGTCGTTGATAACCCAGGCCATGCCTGCACGTCAATCCGAGGCAAAGTGCCCGTTCTTCTTTTCCTGAATGAATCAAATCATTTGGGCTTTTTCCTTCTTTCTTTTGTGGCCCCAGATCTGGTCTTGCTCAGTCGAACCGTGCTGTGTTATAGGCCATCACCACCCACCATGGCCCGGTCCCAGCTCTGGGTTGCTCTTGTGGCCCTGAGTCTGGTCACGGGCATACACGCCCAAAGCGGCTGGTATTTGGCCACAAACGGCACGTCTTGTACCGCTCACTGCGCCAGCGTAGGCTCTGGCTTGACGTGCCAGGCCAGTCCCATGGCTGACGTCGATTCTTCCACCCGGGCTCAGTACGTTTTTGAGACGGAGCTTGGTGTCTCCTGCTCGGGCATCTCGCAAAGCGGCAGTGGCAACAGTCCCTTCGTGCTGGGGGGCTGCACCTACCGCCCCCCCGACCAACCGGTTTCGTGCAATAATGTCCCAGTCAACGGAGCTATCCAACGTGTCTGTTGCTGTGCCACCTCGCCTGCGGCCTGTCCCCTGGAACCCCCTTCCACGTCAAGCACGTCGAGCACCTCCAGCACCTCGAGCACCAGCACCACCTCCAGCACCTCGAGCACTTCGAGCACTTCGATCACTTCAAGCACCAGTTCCACGACGAGTACCTCGAGCACCAGCTCGACCAGCTCGACCAGCTCCACCTCGAGCTCGAGCTCTACTTCCTCGACCAGCTCGACCAGCTCCACCTCGAGCTCGAGTTCCACGTCCTCGACCAGCTCGACCAGCTCGACCAGCTCGACCAGCTCGACCTCGAGCTCGAGTTCCACGTCATCGACCAGCTCGACCAGCTCGACCAGCTCGACCTCGAGCTCGAGCTCTACTTCTTCGACTAGCTCGACCAGCTCGACCTCGAGCTCGAGCTCTACTTCTTCGACTAGCTCGACCAGCTCCACCTCGAGCTCGAGTTCCACGTCCTCGACTAGCTCGACCAGCTCGACCAGCTCGACCAGCTCAACAAGCTCCACTTCCTCGACCAGCTCGACCAGCTCGACCAGCTCAACAAGCTCCACTTCCTCGACCAGCTCGACCAGCTCGACCAGCTCCACCTCGAGCACGAGCTCTACTTCTTCGACCAGCTCGACCTCGTCCACTTCAAGCTCAAGCTCCACGTCCTCGACTAGCTCGACCAGCTCGACCAGCTCGACCTCGTCCACCTCAACCACCAGCTCAACCAGTTCAACAAGCTCCACTTCCTCCACGTCCTCCACAAGTTCAACCAGTACAACAACCTCCGCGCCTCCTTGTTTTCTTGTGCCCAATGGCGACTTTGAGGCGCAGAGCTTCTCCACCGCCTCCGCCTTTATGGATGCTGGCAGTGCTCCTTGGGTCCCAGAGGGAGGTCTTCTGCTGCGAAACGAGAGTGACGCCGCTCCCAATGGACCCACTGTCGTCAATTACATTCCCGGCTTTGCCAGCAATCACATGACCCAAGCGCTGGACATTTCTTTTGCTGAAGACTTCTCCTACATCATCACCGCGGCCTTCAAACGCACTGGCGTCGATGCCAGCCCCGCGACCTTGACCGTCGGTTGGTACGACTTGAACACGGATGCATACTGGCCTGGTGCCATCGTTCTCGGCAACGCCGATCTGCCCGAAGATGAAAGCTACGCCGAAGCTTCCGCTGCCTTCCACCTCAGTGCTTTTGAGACGGCCACGGCTGCAGCGGCTGGCACACAGGCCACGCTGCGGTTCTCTTATGATGGATCAGGCAGCGCCCCAGCCGTGGATAACGTTGTCGTCTGTGTTAACCCATTTGTTCTCTCCAGTACCAGCACCAGTACCTCCATGTCTTCCACCTCCACCTCCACTTCCACCAGCACCTCCACCTCCACCTCCACTTCCACCAGCACTTCCACCAGTACCTTTACCTCCACATCCACCTTCACCAGCAGCTCTACCAGCACCTATACGTCCACCTCCACGAGCTCTTCAGAAACGTGCGTCAGCCAGATTTGCCCTCACTTTTTTTTGTTCCATTTTTTTTTATCTCGTTTTCTTCTTGGGTCTCGCAAGGTCATCACGTATTCAGCCGTTCACGCATCCAACTCATCCTTGCTTCTTCTTTGCAGCGATATATGTGGTCATTTGCAGGATGGCTCGTTCAGCTTTATTGATCAGGCACCGGATGCGGAAGGTCGCGCTCCCGTGGGCCCTGCCTGGACAGTGGCCGCTCCAGGCCAGGAGCCACCCTTTGTGCTTGTCAACTCATCTGCCCTGCCTCCCACTCATGTCCTGCAAGGCATGCCCAGTACACGCATCAGCCAGCAGTCTTTGGTCCGCTTCGAGCTAGCCACCACCTACAGCCTGTCTTTTCGGGCTCGCACACAGAACACTAGCTTGCCGCCCACCCTTTTCGTCTTTATCCGAGCCTTGAACACGTCACAAATTGCTCTTATGCGATCGTTTGCAGCGAATCAGTTTGACGGCATTTGGCGTGACTATCAAGTGATTTATGAACTCTCCTCAGATACCTCCTTTGTGGGGGAGCTGCTTGCCGTTGAGTTTTCCTTTGGCGGCTATGTTCAGCTGGATGACATCATCCTCTGTGCCACCCCTCTCACGAGCAGTAGCACCAGCACCAGTACCAGCAGTTCCTCCACTCAGTCATCGACTTCCACTTCGACCTCGACCTCCACTTCGACCTCGACATCCACATCCAGCTCGACGTCCACCTCGAGCTCCACTTCCACCTCAAGCTCCAGCTCCAGCTCCAGCTCCACATCTACCTCCACCTCATCCAGCACGTCTACTTCCTCCTCCACTAGCAACATCGATCCGCTGGTCCAAACTCCAGACGGTGAGCTTCGCTCTGCTGGCCCTCGACACACACATGCCATTCCTCCCATGCTGGACTCGATTCGATTACGCAGCTGACGTGCTCCTCCCCTCTTTGCTGCAAATATCCTTCGTTTACCGACGCAGGCTGGTTCCAGTTTTTTCGCGTCGAGTATTCGGTGACCTTTCAACGCGGTTCACAACTTCCCTTTGATCAAGCTCAGACCGCCTGTGCGCAAAATGGTGCTTATTTGGCATCACCCTCAACCGAGCTCGAGTGGTCTCGCATCTACAACATTATTCTTGAGCACACGTTTGTAAACCATCACACCTTGCTTTCTGCGCGCCATTTGGTGCTGGCTGATGTCGGCTCATTTTGGCTGATATCGGCTCGTTTTGGTGCCTATCGTCTGTGTTTTGCTTAGGCCTGTCAATCAAATTTGGATTGGCGGCTACCTGATTCGCACTCCGGGTACTGAGCTTGTTTGGGATAAGCCCGGAACACCCGTGGGTACGTAGGCTCTTTCTTTACCCTTGCATGTTTGTGGTCCTGATGTCTGCACCGCTCCATTTGAACCGATCCCTCGACGCGCCGCCATCACATCGCACATATGTCTGGGCCTTGGCTGCCGCAGCTTTCACCAATTGGCGTAGCGGGTCGCCTTCAGCCGATGTGGACAGGAACTGTGTACTCGTTGATCGTACCACGGGCGAGTGGTATAACGACGAGTGTAGCAAATACCGCGGTAAGCATGCTCATTCTCCTTCCTCTCTCTTGTTTTGGTTGCGTGTTATTCTTATTCTCTCAGAGCATCCTTCTCAGTTTGCTGGCGAAGGAAACCCGGCTCACCTCGCTGTTCCATCTTGTGCTTTCTTCTTCCTCTTTTATACGCTTGCTACCTGCGACATTCATATTCCGTCGTTATTGCGCAGCATATGTTTGTGAGCGCGTTATCGAACGCACATCCACTTCATCCAGCACTTCCACCTCCTCCAGCACTTCCACCTCAACCTCTACCAGCTCCTCAAGTACCCAAACCTCAACCTCAACTTCAACGTCCACGTCTACTTCCACGTCCACGTCCACTTCTACGTCCACTTCTACATCCACCTCAACCTCGACCTCGACGTCCACGTCCACCTCGACAAGTATGATTGCGGCTCCCGATGAGGATGGCTTTGTGCGATTCGCGACCATCCCTGCGTCCAAGTTTCTCTTGGCGTCAGATCAGTCGGGAAGCGCATCAGTTGGGCGCGCCTATTGCCAGATGCTTGGCGGTGATCTGGCTTCAATCCAGTCCACCGAGGAGATGCGCGTTTTGCTCAATTACTTCACCCAAGACGATGCAAGCACCGCGGCAATCGAGCCCCTCGTGAATCAAGTGCACCTGGGGTTGCGCTACGTGGACAACACAGCGCAATTGGTAAATGTGGACGATCGTCCCCTTCCCAACGGCGGCGCTGCTCTCGTGGCCGAGTACCAGAACACAGCGCCCAAGCGGAACGAGCCCTGCGTTGCCCTCAACCTCAACAACGATCGCACTGGCACTTTCGAGTCAATCCGTTGTGCTGCGACGCGCAGTCCACTTTGCCGGGTCTACACATTCACCACCTCGACCAGCACAAGCTCAAGTACCAGCACAAGCACGTCGACGAGCACAAGGACGATGAGTAGCACCTCGACCAGTACCTCGACCAGCACCTCCACAAGCACGAGCACGAGTTCTTCGACGAGTTCAATGACCTCGACTTCCACCTCGACTTCAACTTCATCCTCGTCAACCGACACGCGTTCCTCAACGTCCACATCCACGTCCACATCCACCTCAACATCCCGTGAGACCTCCACGTCCGAGTCCACGTCCACCTCATCCAGCTCGAGCAGCGTTACAGATACATCGACCAGCACTTCCACAACTCGTTCGACATCTTCGAGCTCAACCTCAACCTCCAGCTCAACCAGTGCATCTTCCACCAGCACATCTAGCTCGACCACGGCGACCTCGACCTCAACTTCGACGAGTACCAGCACGTCCTCCTCGACGTCTAGCAGCACGTCTACAAGCACCTCGACGTCTAGTAGCACGTCCACCTCCACCAGCTCTTCCATCGATGCCTGTGAGCAGGCCCGGTTTTTCAACACGGCTGAAAACGGTATGAGGGCCGAGTCGTTTTTTGGCGCATGCAAAGCCCGTTTGTTTGCTCGGACTTGGGGCGTGCGCACGCGCGCACGCGCACGCGTGTGTACATGTACAGCGCTCTCCTGTCCCCTTTGTTTTGTGAAGGTCTCACGTGCTGTTGCCACACGGTCTTGTGGGAACCCCTGTCCATAGGTTGGCGCCGCTTGAATGGTGTGGAGTATCGATTTTTCCCCGACCAACGGACCTTTGACGGCGCCAGGAGTGCTTGTGCTACCCAAAATGCAACTCTGGCTATTCTCGACACTCGCGATGCGGCTGATCTCATCACCTGCCTTTCGCAAGAGTTTACCACTAGGGCAGCCTACGTCGGCTTGTGCATAGTGGATGGGATGGCACGCAGCATCGATGGGGCACCCACCTATAGCAAAATCGAGGAGTATTTCACTCCCGAATCACCCACGACTTCGAATGGATGCTTCCAATATCGCGTTGGTGCAGGTCTCATGGATGTGCAAACATACCGCAGCCGAGCATACGTGTGCCAACGAGCTGTCGTGTACACGACCAGTACTTCATCGTCTACGTCCTCAAGCTCGAGTACGTCCACGAGCACGACCACGAGCATCAGCAGTACCTCGACCTCAACCTCGACGGTTAGCTCCACGTCCAGCTCGACATCCACGTCCAGCTCGACATCCACGTCCAGCTCGACGTCAACTTCGACCTCGACCTCCACTTCGACCTCGACGTCAACTTCGACCTCAACCTCAACTTCGACCAGTACGAGTAGCTCGACCAGTACGTCAACATCGACTAGCTCGTCTTCTTCGACCAGCTCCAGCACCTCCAGCACGGCGACTTCCACCTCCACCTCCACCTCCACGAGCTTGGTGGCAGGCGCCGATGAGGGCGGCTTTGTCCGATTCGCCAACATCCCCGAGGCCAAATTCCGGCTCTATGCAAGCGAATCACGCAGCTTTGCTGACGCCTTACTGTTCTGTCGCCAAGAGGGAGGTGAATTGGCTCACGTGGCCAACGGCTTTGAGCTTGGGCGCTTGCTGAGCTTCTTCTCCCAGGATGATGAACGTACGCCAGAGGTCATAGAGCCGGAGGTGAACCAGGCTTGGGTGGGCGTGCGATACACAGATGAGGACGACGACCTGTACAATGCCAACGGCGAACCTTTGGTCAACTCACAGCAGGTTCTGGCCGATTACCATGCGCCCGGACAGTCACCCCGGGCCTTACGCGACGACTGCGTCCTGCTCAATTTGAACAATGAGAATACGGGCAGCATTTCCCCACGTGTGTGTGGTGCAACCCGTGCTCCCATCTGCCGATTCTCGACGGCCACGACGGTCACCTCGACGTCATCCAGCACTTCCACCAGCACCTCCAGCTCCACGGCCACCTCGTCCAGCACATCCTCCAGCACCTCAAGCTCCACGTCAACCACAGGGACCAGCAGCTCGACATCAACGAGTTCGTCCACTTCTACAAGTACGTCCACCTCGTCTTCGACCTCGACCAACACGGAGCGCAGCTCATCTACGTCTACGAGCCCGTCGACGTCGTCATCGCCCTCCACGTCGTCGTCCCCCTCCACGTCAAGCAGCAGCTTCTTCAGCTCGAGCAGCAGCTCTTCGACCTCAACTTCGTCGCAAACATCCACTTCCACCAGCGTGACCACCATCTCGAGTTCCTCAACCTCCACTTCAATCAGTTCCACCTCGACCTCCACCTCCACCTCTACCAGCACCTCGACGTCCTCTTCCTCGGCCACCTCCACCTCCACCACGGCCACCTCCACCAGTACCTCAACATCCACCTCCACTTCTACCAGCACATCGGCTCACTTGTGTGACCAAAGCCGCTTTGTCATTGGTAGTGCCGAAGGTTTGTCTATCCCGATGTTGTTCGTTGGCCTGGGTCAATCATGGTTCTGTGTGTGGCCGTGGCTTGGCGTCTCATCCTGCCCTGTTTGGCCTTTCTTACCCGCACGCCTGCTTTGGCACTCGTGCCTGCTGTTCTCTGTGATTCTCGATGGGCCGGGCGGCGCGTAGACTGGTTTCGCTTTGGTGACGACGGCTTTGAATATCGTTTCTTCGACAGTAAAGTGCCATATAGCGCGGCGCTGCAGCAGTGCAGTGGACGCGAGCGCCCCGCAGTCTTGCTGACCGTCACCACGCAAGAAGAGGTCAACATGTTGAGCTGCATCTTTCCGACCGCTACCTCGCGTGTGGCCATGTGGGTTAACGGTCGGCTTTCTTCGGCCGATCCCAATACGCTCACGTATTCGGACGAGTCGGTGCCGCTCTCGCCCTTGCCGTTCCAGGCCGGCCAGCCATCCATCACGGGTGACAGCTGCCTCGCTTATTCGCTGCAGGGAGAGCAGGGCTTTTTTGATTTGCCTTGCAATCGCAACCGCGTTTTTGCGTGTAAGCGCCCCTTTGAAGTAACCACATCCACCAGCACCTCCTCCAGCACTAGCTCGTCCACATCCTCTTCGACGTCCAGCTCCAGTTCTACTTCGACGTCCAGCTCCAGCTCCAGCTCGACGTCCAGCTCTAGCTCCAGCTCCACATCCAGCTCGACCTCGACCTCGACCTCCTCTTCCACGTCGACATCTACCAGCTCCAGTTCATCGACGTCCACCTCGACCTCGACCTCGACATCTACGTCCACCTCGACATCCACGTCAACGTCAACCCAGACTTCGACCTCAACCAGCACCAGCACCAGCTCGTCTTCGAGCACGTCGACCTCGACCTCGACTTCAACCTCGAGCTCCAGCTCCACATCCAGCTCCAGCTCAACATCCACCAGTACGTCCACGGCCACGTCGACCTCGACCAGCACGTCGACCAGCTCGTCAACATCCACTTCAACCTCCTCCCAGACATCAACGTCCACAAGCACATCCACGAGCACGTCAACCAGCACCTCCACGTCCACATCCACATCCACTTCCACCTCGACCTCGACCTCGACCTCCACCTCGTCGTCGGCCGACTTTGTTCCACAGCCCTTGACGGTGTTGAATGCCGACTTTTCAAGCCGGGATGGTTCGAAGCTCAACGTTTGGAGTGTCGAGTCGGGCTACGTGTACCCCTACTCCCCGACTTCAAGCGAGTTTGAGCCGGGGCAAACAGCACCAGGCGTGACCTTGGCAGCGATGATTCCCGATGAGGCTAACCGCGCGGTTTTTCAGCAAGCGCCAACAGGCCGAGTACAGCCCGAGGCTGCTTACTCCATTCGCGTGCGCGCGGGTCGTCGCCGTGATTTCTTGCCTCTCGGCTCACTCAACATTCGCTTGATCAGCACGGGGACAGCAGCCACCATCCACGAGGTAACGCTGGATTTGTCCGGTATTGCATCGGGCTACTTCCAGACCTTGAGCAGCAACTTTAGCGTGAGTCGTACGGACGCCGTAGCCTATTCCACCGTCCTCTTGCGGCTCGAGTATCAGGGCCAACTGGCACACCTGGACTTTGTGGACATTGTCACGGCCTTTGATGGGACTGTGGAAGTGACCCCTTCAACGACGACCACGACGCTGGCTACAACCCCAGCGAGAACCTCAGATCCGACGGCAACCACCACCTTGCCCGTTGGTACCACTTCGCCAACTGCCCCTGCCACGGCCACCACGGCCACCACGACCACTATCACCACGATTGCGACGTCCAACCCGACTGCGACGCCGACCTCAAGCAGTGAAACCACGACGGCGCCCGCGACGACGCCCGTGTTTACTTCCACAACCACTGCCAGTCCGGTCGCTGGGTTGGTCAATCCGTCCTTTGAGGAAAGCGACGAGGCGATGCGGCCCCTTGCATGGATCACGTCGCAAAACGCCCAGGTTGTGGAGGCCAGCGCTCTCAACTTTGTTGGGGGCTACCCCGCGCCTGCCAGTGGCGAGTATGCCCTCTTGCTCTTCTCGACGGGCGCCGTCGATTTCGCGCGCCAAACGGTCCAAAACTATACGATCCAGGAGGATGGCACCCTCGCCGCTACGGTGAGCTTGGGCCGCTCCAGTCTCGTGGCCAGCACGGCTTCGATCAGCCTGCGCTTTTTGGCACAACCTAGTGGGGCGGTCGCCGGCGAGATGGTGGTGCCTGCTGCTTCCATCCCCAGCGACGCCTTTGCAACCTTTACCGTGCGCGCCACTGGCATCACTTCGGGCGACCTTGGTGGCGCCGTGGCTGTCGAAATCGTGTTGCCATCGCAGGGGTTTGTCCTCTGCGATAACGTTCAGGTCACGGAGGAGGCAACGCTCACGACCGTGGTGGACGATAGCAGCACGTTGGCGCCATCAGGGCAGGCCGGAAACAGCACTCGGCGTTCCTTTGCCATCGATCTCAACAACTGGAACTTTGAGGCCGAGTCTGTCATCAACTCAGCGTCGGCCAATTCGGGCAACATTCCCGGGTTTGTGCAAAGCGGTGCGACCGGGACCTTCCGCCCACCTGCCGCGGCGTTTTTGCGCGATAGCCTGGACCGCCTGCAGGCACCTGCAAGCCAATATCAAGCCGCCTACATGAAGGCGAGCGGTGTTTTGAGCCAGACCGTGCCTCGGCCGCTTTTGGCAGGCGACGCATACACGTGCACCGTCGCCGTGGGTGTGCGAGCTGACCGCACGTTCCCCGTGCCATCTCGGTTCGAGTTGCAGCTGCGTGTCGGGCCCAAGGTGCTTGCTGCGGTATCCATGGACCCGAGCGGCATCCCAGCTGGCTACTTCTCAGACATTGTGCTCTCCTACACCGTTCCAGAGGCCTTGAGCAATCTGGGCCAAGAGGCAACACTGGAGCTGCTGGCCTCAACGGGTGCGTCAAACGCTCAACTGGCCGTGGACAATGTTCGCGTGCAAGTCGAGTCAGCGATTGGCCCCGATGACCTGGATTTCGTGTTTGGCAATGCTGTCCAAGCCACACACGCCCTTTCGTACGACGGTATGTTTCGTTCAAATTTCGCTCAGTTGTGTTGTGCAGAGCGTATTTGTGGGGTATTTTGCCTTGGTTTAGAGTTATCTCCCCGTGCATCTCACTGTGGTGTTCTTGGATACCTTCGCTTTTTTTCCCCCTGCTTTGCTTTTCCTTTGTGCCGCGTCCTCTTCCTTCCAGGCTCGGCGTCAGCCTATACTGAATTCCAATATGAGATGGGGTTTGAGCGCAACGAGCTTGAGCTGAGTTTCCGCACTGCCGAGCAGCAGGGAATTTTGCTGTTTGCGCCTCCGGAACACGGCCACGCCGACTATTTGTTGGTGGCCGTTCAGAATGGCGTTGTGCAGGCTTTCTTGGAGACTGGTTCGGGTTCACGCATGATCATCAGTGATATCTTCGTGGCCGACAATGAATGGCACGACGTGGTCCTGATGCGCGTGGGCACCAGCCTCATGTTAAGCATTGACAGCTTCCAATTTTCGGCGAGCTTTGCGGTAGGCCACCTGTGACATGATCTGGCCATGGCGTTTGGCAAATGGTAGCCGTCCTGGTTCACACATCTGTGGTGTTGGGGATCTCCTTGCAGGGGTTGGAGACGGAATTGGATGTGTCCGGCCAAGTGTTTGTGGGCGGCCTGACGGCAGCAGCTGCAGACAATCTGACTCTGCCTGTGATGAACTCGTTGCATGGGTGTATTTCGGGCGTGGTGCTTGATGGCATGCGTAAGTCCCTTTCCGCCGTGTGCTTCTCCATTGACTTGGTTGTCCGGTGGCACGCGCGCCACATGGGGGATGTCGCGTTGTTGATGGCCCCTGTATCGCTCACTTGATTCTGTTGACTATGCTCGCGACAATCGTGTTTTTGCACGGTTCGCTTCTATCTCGTGTAGAACTCTCCCCCGCCACGCCGGGTATCTTGGTGCAGCAGGGCCTGGGCGTGGGCTTGTGCGAAGCGCTGGCCTTTACCGGGTACTCGCAGGTGACCCTCGGTGGGTCAGCCATCCTCCAAAGTCGAACACAAATTACATGTGAGGTGCAGTTTTCGGCAACCGCTTCAGCGGGTATTGTGTTCAGCACTGGTTCGGAAACCGGAACAAACCGCGACTTTGTGGTTTTGGCCATTGTCTCGGGCAAGCTGCAGCTCTACGTGAAGCGAGGCTCCCTCGCCACGGTTCTTGTCAGTACCGTGACAGTCGCCGACAGCGACAATCACACAGCCAGCTTCGGCGTAACAGCCAGCGCCATCAGCTTGGAGGTGGATGGCACGGTTGTCACCACGAGCTTCTCCGGCTCCACTGTTACCCTGCAGCTGCCCGAGACCAGCTTTGTGGGCCACATGCCCGGTGACTTTGTGTCCTCGGCTGTTTTGCAGCAGCTGGATTTACCAGGCTTGAAGGGTTGCGTTTCGGCCTTAGTGCTCGATGGTGCAGACGCCTTTGCCAGTCTTGGTGTGGCCCAGCAGCGCTATGTCACGGCATGTTAACGTTGATGAGCAGATCAGACTTTAATTTTGTACACCAGGCTGCCATCGTCTTTTTTTTTCAAATGTTTTTTGTGTGTTTCGCTTAACTTGCCTTGCCCCATCGATCGCAGCTCATGCGCCATGATTGTTACTTCTTGAGTTTTTGTTTTGTCTCTTTCTCTTCTTTCTTTTTCTCAAATTCCAGCGCACCTGACGGCGGTCATCCACTGTGTCATGTCTGCGGCTTTGATCTTCCCTTTTATTTTTTTTCCGATGCCAAATTGAGATTACACCGTCAAGCTTTCCTTCAGGTGGGGATTTTTTTTAACTTGTGCATGACACTTAAAGCGAGATGTGGACGTGGATTTGTGGAAGATTGGGACAAGCAGCCGCACACACCCAATGCTTTGCAAAGAAGAAGTCACACCCAACGAAGCACATGCTCGTGTGACACAGGACAAGGTAAACCAAAACGACAAGAGAAGGGGCACGTAGTACGGGGGCAAAACAAGTTGGAAACGTTAAACAGATGATGTTCCAACACATCCCAAGAACGTAACGGACAAACGAACAAGAAGCGCACTGCGCATTCCAATCAACCCAGGCCGCGTATTTAAGCCACGGGACCGGGAGACACCTGAGGCATTTGGCTTTCATCTTCGAGGTATCGGTACTCAAACACAAACTTGTCCCGCTTGCGCTGGCACCAAGAAGACTCGAAATCAAAGTAGAGATAGCTTCCCACCTCGCGTTCCGTGTTGATCTCGAGGGGTTTCTCATGGCGTTGAAACCAGGTTTGGAAGCGTTTGTGGTAGCGCCACGACTGGCCAAACAACAAATGCGAATGCAACGTGTGAGAGGCAATACAAAAAAAGAAAAAGAAAAAAAAAAAAAAAAAAAAAAAACCTGGGAAGCAAGGCGCGCACGGGGACACACTTGTTTCTTTAGCTCCTGTGCCGCCAAATATTGCTGGCGAGTACCCTGCTGGTAGTAGAAAATGAAGAATAACGTGTTGGTGTCCAGCTGCGAATAGATGCGAGGTCTGCAACATTGGGTCGTTTCAGCATGGATAAAATGAGCTGCAACCAGACAGCACAGGAAATGGCGGGGGTCGCAGCGGTGGACTGACTCGTTGAAAAGAGACAGCGGCTGCGTGGGGTAGTATGGAGGCGTGGGAAAAGGGTGGCGGGGCGTGTAGGAAGCCGAAGGCTTGCCCTCGGCCGCGGACTCGGGCTTGAAACGATGTGAAACCTGCTCAGCGGCCATGCAGAACAACAAGAGGATGTAAGCATGCGGGCAGATATACCGGGCTGGTCGCGAAGGGCGAAGGAGCTGCAAAGGGGTGAAGTTTGCAGGCACAAGGTCGAACCTCGAGCATCTTGGCCCGGGCCTGCACCGTCTAGATGTGGAGAGCAAACGACGAAACGAGGAGAGGCATCGGGCGGCGGTGCGGTGAGAGGCCCGCCTCTGTAAGCAGCGGCGGGAAAGGCATGGAGTCAGCATGAGATCAGTTGCGTACGTCAGGTAACGGGGCGGAAGTCGATGGAAAGGCAGCGGTCGCTGGGAAGTTAAAGCCGGCGTCCGGTGTGGCCTGCCAAGATCAAACGTGGTGCATCGATGCAATCAGAATCGACGTTAGGATAAATAAAAGTGATCAAATTCATCCAACACAGCAGATGGAACTGCACAAGCTAACATGGGCACAAGCGCATGCACCAAACGTACCCCAGACGATCCCCGTTGGGAAGCTCCGGATTCTGCCATGAGAGGATGGGTGCCATCCTAAACGAGAGGAATTAGGGGGCATGAGCTCGGGCCAACCATGTCAGAAGTGGCGCGCGTCCAATCTTGTTTCGGATTCAACGAACCAATAGCGATTGCGCCGCGGTGGCTGGAGATGCCACCTCTTCGTGGAGTTCGGGTAGCTGCACGAATACCAACACAGGGTTTTCATCAACGCGGGCCGACCAGAGCCAATGTGGACAAGAGATAATGTGCCTGAAAGCGAAGTCAACTTACCGCAGCGCCCGAATAGGCGATGGAAGCGGCGGAAGGCGTCTAGAGGTTGCGTTTGAGTGGGTGAATGAAAATAAGTGAGGCGTCGAGCGGGGGCCAAGGGCAAATTGTGGGTAGGTTGATTCAGTCTTTAGGGAAAACATATTGGCCTCAAGTGCGTCTGGTGCCTACCGAAGGCATGGAGGGCGGCGTGCTTTGGAGCGAGCGTGGGGTAAGAGGGGCCTGAGCCGTTGCTACAGTGGCTGCTGCGGCAGCCCCAGCACTCTCGGTACCCTTGGAGGCAATTTTGGCAAAATTGACGGGTTTGCCCCACTGATGGAGAGAGGAGACAAAACAAAACAAAAAAAAAAAGAGCAAACGCAACACAAGAAATCGAGCACAAGATGAGAGGAGAGCCAAGCGAGACAGTGGAGGGGAGATAGAGGACAGGTCGAACAGCAGCGAGTTGGCGATTCGGGGTCCACAGGCGAGAACGGCGAGCACGGCAGGGCAAACACGCTCGACGAGGCGGAAAACGGCTTACCTTGGAGGGTGGCGGCGAGGCCGGCGCCGGAGTTGTTGGCGTCTTGGTGGCGGCCGGCGCACTTTCAACCCGCGATACGACTGGGGAAGCAGCCGCCGCAGCCTCAGGCTCGGGTTCCAGATGCTAGTTGTCAATGAGGCAGCGCAAGAGTGAGCCTGATTGAAAGTAAAATATCTCCATCCGCACACACGACAGAGATATCATTTGCGCCAGGCTGACCGATTCAGAGGCAGCGCGACTCTTCTTGGTCTCATCCTTGGTATCCTTCTCTTTGGATTTTTCTGTTCGCGTATGTGAGAGAGGCCATCGGCAAGGGTTGGTGAGTGTTGTGGCCGCATAACAAGAGGCTGCATACGTTGCCTCGCCTCGTCGAGCGAGACTGACTCTTCTTGGTTGTTTTTTTCTTCTTCTCGTCCTTTTTCTTTTTGCTCTCGTCGTCCGAGTCTGGGCGGGCTTCATCGTCGTGACCCAGGTTGAGCGTACTCACGCCCAGTGTGGGGCCGGTAATGTCCGCCACGGCCTACATAAAGCGGGCAGGGGGAATAGGTCACAAAAGGAATGGGGAGGGTTACCAGCTGGCATGGCACAGCCGGGGCTGACGTACGCCAACAGCGCGAAGGTGCTCCTCGATGTCATCAAAGAGATACTCGTCTTCCACAAAGTCCGGATCCTGCGGAAATGACGACAGCCCACGGTCCAAAAACGCATCGCCGGTTCACAATCAGGGTGGAGGAGCAAATCAAGAATTGAAACAGGAAGTGCAGGAATGACAAATTCAGGGACGGACCGTGTTGTCATTGATATGGTATTCAATGCCTTCCTTGACATCTTCAAGCTGGCTGGGCTCGAGATTGTTGTTATCAAGACCACGGATCACCATCTAAAGCAACGCGTTGCGCGCATCCGTGCAGAGTCAGGTAAGACCACCACGGGCCGTCATGGGCCACTTCAACTGTGCCTACTCCTGCCAGCCAGCGAAATGGAAACCCTAGCTCTGACTGACCTCGATCTTTGCAACCAAGCGCTGGTGACGCTCTATCCGAGCTTGCAGTGCTTCGAGAACTTCTTCCGTCTGAAGAAGCAATGATACAGGAAAGACAAAGTCAGATCCAGGAGCAAGACGCACCCGTCATGCCGCATGGCCACAGGGAGATGCCTCGGACGCAAACTGCCAGATTTGCACGATTGTCTCCGGGGGAAGTTAAGCAGGACAGGCACAGACCTTCTTTTTCCGCTTGGCATTGCTAGTCGTTTCGATTTCTGCCTCAATCATGTCGACCTGCAGTTTGATGTCTTCAATGTATCGGTTGAGATCATCTCGACAGTCCTAAACGTACCGAGGAATCAGTGTTCATGCAAGAAGTGGCCACGAGGGGCCCAGAGGTGGGTTCACTTTTTGGGGACACTCAAAATAAGAGAAGGGGTCAAGAATTGGCGACGGGTCGGGCAATACCTGCTTCTCTTGTTCTTCAGGGTCAAGTTTTGAGCGCTTGTCCAGACCTGCGAGTGGAACTCAGATGAGTGAGTTGTGCGCAGAACGTCCCTCTGTTTGCCTGAGCGAAATTGCCAAAAGGGGGTTGGGCAGACGTGGGGTTGATGCCTTTCAAAAGCAGCCCTCTTACCCTCATTGGAGTAAGCCTTGGTCTTGGCATCTCGTTCCAAATCACGATAACGTTCCATTTGCTGAAGCAGGTAGAGGGAAGGGCGAAAGCCAGATAAGAAAAGCGCATGGTCCAAAAAGCCGCGTGTGTACGAGCGAGGGAGGGAAAGAGTTGCACGAGAGACAAACGGCCATTGTCTCAAGGCGTCAAGTGGCGAACGAGTGTGAGCTCATACGTTTTCGATGAGCTTGCGAGTCTCGCCAAGCACTTTGGCCATGCTCTTTGCGTCGCTGCTGTTGAGCCATGATTTGATTTGCTCGCGGAATTTCTGTCCCAGCGACGCATCAGTTAGAAACCGAGTACAGGAGTGAGACAGGCATGGCAAGCAGATTGGCACAGGAGTGGTGGCGTGGCAAGCGCAGTGGGGATTGGCATGACTGACCTGCAATTTCTTGATCTCCTTCTTGAGCTCTGCCTCAAACTTTTCCTTCTGGTTGGAATTGGTGGCAGTTTGAATCTGTTGGGGCCCTCAGGGTGGGTGCACGAATCAGATCGGGGTGGCCACGGGTGTGATAGAGGACGACAGGCTCGGCGAAGGCAAGACCGACCTTATCGTATGTGTCCTCAAAAATCTCAGAATGCTCGGACACTTGTTTCAGCACCCTGTCGATCTCAGCTGGAGTTGGGCACAACCGATGTAACGTGAGGCGATGCGAGGCCAGGGGAGAGAAGGGGATGTGCATGGCCTTGACGCTCAAGAAGCGCCGCTCCAGTCTCGGCTGCCCATCCAGGCTCGGGGCAAAACGAGCACGTACTCTGGAGCTTGCGCTTATCGGCCATGGTAGCGTTCAAGCATGACGGGCCCCGCCACGCAGATCAAAGGGAGATGCTAAGACCTCCTATCTCAGAACCGATGGCTGTGACCGGCCACTTGCTGCTGCTGCTCAAGCCCACAAGGAGGTACGTCGTTCACAGGGCAAGCCTGTTGTTGAGCGACACAAAAACCCGATGAGACACTAGCCCGCCCTCGTCAATCCAACTCAGACGGAATTACAAATGCAACCCCGGTCCACCGCCAAAGAAGGCCATGATATGAAAGAACTGCGCCCCTGCCAGCCACTGATATCCCCCGGGCAGACTCGTCTACCCCGGCTGCCATTTTACGCTGCTGCGCACTCACAAGAGAGAGAGAGAGGAACAGCAACAACAGCAAAACAACATAACCGCACAAAACCGTTCTTTTGTTCTCGGTCGGACGGGTTACCAGCTGTCAGTCAGCTTCCAGAGGCTCACTACCAAATGTATTTGATGTTGGAAAGACATTTGGGGTCAAAAGTTATAGTGGAGTAACGGAAATGACCCCGAAGCAGCGAGAACGATCGTCATTTCTTCATGGATTGAGCGGAACGTGGACCGCGAGCGGGGCCCGACGTGGTGGGGTGCTTTGTCCTTTCCATCACACAGAAAGCGCAGAGGCGCAGAGGCGCAGAAAAGCGGCATTCGTTGCTAAAGTCACAACTCCAACCAAGAACAAAACATGGGGGGAGGGATGAAAAATGCTAATCAATCAATCTGGACAGCTCGAGAAGCCTTGTAGGGGCTGGGGATGCCGGGAACCGAGCCCTGGCCCATTGGTGGTGGGGCGACGGCGCCAGGGGAGTAGACGCCTTGCATGGCGTACGGCGCGGCCATGTACGCAGCCCCGGACATATCTGGATAGTAGACGGGGCCCATGCCATAACCACCATTGGATGACTGCGTGTGGGCGGGCATCATGGCCGCCGATGGATAGAAAGGCTCAGCCATGCCATCCATGGGCATCATCGTCGGATAAAACGCTACAAGAAAGAGGGAAAACGAGCATGTCCAAGAAAAGGACGCAGGGACGCAAGGGCACATCGCCACAAGCCATCATTGCAAACGGCACACATGAGCACTGAAAAACGTGCAGGACGGGCATTGTGCGACGGGCAAGCCAAGCGACAGCGTACGTGCGGCATTTGCTGTCATGTACGGCTGGTGCTCGTAGACTGCACCCTGTGTCGTGGGTACCATGCCTACACGAGCATATGGCCACACGACTGAAGAAATGAAAGGATGCCACAATACCATTTGTGCAAGGCACACCAGAATGTCAATTCTAGCCCTGACCATCTTTCTGCTGATGCACGTAATCAAGAGGGAACGCATAGCTCACCTGGGCCATAGGGGTTCTGAACCATCATCCCATAACCTTGCGCCGGCATGTAGGATTGGGCCATGACGGCAGCAGCGGCACGTTGTTGATGGGGGGACATGCGGCGTGGCGCCGTCTGACGATGTGCCGCGGCAGCCGGCTGCACTTGGCTACGAATGTCCTGAAGGCGCTCTTGGGTCGAGGCGGCCGGAGAGGTGGCCGTTGCGGGCGCCGTCGAGGCGGCAGCCGTGCGGTTGGCCGAGAAGCGGGGCGCCGTGACCCCCGTGCTGGCAGCTGCTGCCGGTGTCACGGTCGACTGATCCCGTTCCTCTGTGCCGTCGAATTCTTGGCGAGCCGGAGCCTCGGGCGCACCCAGCTTCAGTCCCTGCAGCTGAGCCTGAGCCTGGGCCGAAAACGTAACGCTGCACATTGCCAAAAACAATCGCGATCACAACAACAACAACAACAACACACACAGGAAATGAAAGGAAAAAAAAAAAAAAAAAAAAGGGAAACCGGTACTGAGTGAGACGGGATAATAAAAAAAGAAAGACAATACAACTTGGCCTGTTCTAAATGAGCAGGCACGACGTACGCAGGTGATTCATCTAGCTGCAAGGTCAGCTCACGCTCCAGCGCTGCTACGGGTTGTGATACTGCGTCCGCAGTGGACACTGAAGCAGGCAGTGATACAGGAGAGGGTGCTGGGAGGTGGACGGTAGCCGTGCCATCACCGCGACCCCGGCCTTGCCCACGACCTCGGCCCCGGCCCCGACCCCGGCCTCGTCGACCTGTAGCCAGAAGCGATCAAAGTGAGACCAAGCCCGAGGCAGGACCGGCCAAGAGGCTTGAGACTCGGGTGGAGACCGGGATGGACACGCGGCATGGACACGCGGCATGGACACGCGGCAAAGAGCATGTGCGCGGCACACCATACCTGTCTGTTCGCCATCGTCAGGCTCGTTGCGCTTGGGCTAGCGCGGTCACGACAAGGAACATCAGCAATTCGCACCGGCAGCAAGTTGCGTGGGGGTCGGCGCGGCACACGACGAGGGCAGACCAACCTTTTGAAGCTCCTCAAACTTGTCATGTTTCCATGCCCCTTGATCCGTATGCGAATCCCACAAGTGACGCGATTTGCGGCTCCTATCAAGATGAGACACACGGCACGGTTAGAAAGAAGAAGACGCGTCGTCTGGGGAGGACAGACAAGCTCGGCCATCTTGATGTCCACTGTGCGTATCCATGCAGGTGCCTCTTACCCAGCACGATCCTGCGCAGGACCATTAATTTGGCGGGACCGAAATTCGGCATCGTCCGCGTGTCCGTTTAGACGCGCATCGGGTTCCTGAGAAGATGTCTGTCCCTCGGCATCGGCATTGTCTGCACCCCGACCCCGGCCGCGGCCGCGGCCTCGACCGCGACCACGACCACGGCCTCGACCGCGTGGACTGGGAGCCAAGCGGTCATCGTGCATATAAAAGCGACCTCGTGGCGGCATTAGCGGGTCGCGAGGCTGGTTGAGGACAACGGGATGAAAAGGGGTTAAAGGCAGCAAGATGGACAGAGGTGAGCAAGCCCAATCAAGAGCACGGACGACGTCGGTGGCATCAAGTCAGTGGGCCTACGCAGCACACCCGCGAATGCCCCTTTGCACAAGGAGCGGGCACAAGTGGGGTTAAAACAAATAACCAACCGCATCCCGAGTCTCTTCCTTGGAGGGTTTGGGGGAGTCCAAAGAGCCCGTCGGGGCTGGCAAGACCAGCTGTGAGCCTGGGAAAAGGGCGATGAAGGGTGAGGGATGAGACAGAGCTAAAAAAAAAAAAAAGAGAAAAGAGAAAAGAAAACAGGGGCATGCTCATCCCGAGGCAAGGCATCTTACTGTTACGGGGCGAGGCGGGTGCCGCGTGCTTGTCTGTCGGTTTATCCTCAGTATCAACCTCAGCATCAGATTCAGCCTCTGCTTCAGCCTGTTCATCGCCGAGTAAACCGCGGCGCCCTAGAATGCGATCGACCGGCTATAACATTTCCAGCGCAGAGGTCAGGATAAGATGCCAGGGCATGCGCGGGCAGAAGAGGGAGGCAGCAACGTCTGCGAGTGTTTCATAACTCGGGCTCGACCATTCACCTGGTCATCCTCGTCGTCGTCATCCTCGTCGTCGTCCTCATCGTCCTCATCCTCGTCGTCTTCATCCTCGTCGCCCGAATCGACCTCTTCGTCATCGGGCTGCTCTTCCTGTGCTGCCCGTGCTTCGTCGCTGTTGTCCGAAGTACCCGCATGACCTGGTCGGGGTCCAAGGCCCGAACGAGCAAAGAGAAGGGGCAACTCATGAGTTTACTCCGTGCTGATGGGCAACAAGAGGCTTTGCAGCTCAAGATAGCTGTCAGCCTCCCCCTGTCCGACGCTCTTCCCTGCCCGAGAGCCCACCAAGCCCGGGGTTCGGTCCCTTGAGCCCTCCCTTCGCTTGCTTTCGCCGCAAAACGTTGAGAGCAGCGCAACGGACGGATTAAGAACCAGAAGCGATCGCAACTTTTGGCGCTGGTATGTGCCCACTCACCGTTGAGCGCACCGTCCTCTGTGTCCACTTTCTGCGCGCCGTCCTCAGCTACCGGCTCGGCCTTGCCGGTACCAGTACCGGCAGCGTCAGCGGCGTCGGGAGCGAGGGTCGTGGTCGTTGTTGCCGCCATCACACACGTTTCCGCACAGAGAGAGAGAGAAAGAAAGAAAAAGAAGAAAGAAAAAAAAATGAATTCACAAGAGGTAGTGAGTCGTGTACGAAGCACTTCCAGAGGATCGTGCTCCACCTCAAAAATTGATAAGGCAAAACCCAAGGTCGAACGAGAGATGCTTCTTCACTGATGGTAGAATGTCAGAGAAATCGACGTCCACAGGAGGAAGCGGGACACGTTTGCATCAACCGTTGTTGATTACACACAACACACCCCTCTCTCTCTCCATCTCTGAATGTGATCATGCATGTGCGTCTGTCTCTGATTTGCCTTGATTTTCCCACTAATTTCTCTGCGCTTTGTTATGAACTTTTACATCTCTCTGTTGTTTTTCTCATGAGAACCCGTCTCTCTCTTTCTTTCTCTGTCGGCCTTGAGGCGCGAGATACGACAGCAGCTATGGCGGCAGGCTGTTGGGTCTGGGTTCGAGTTGGAACCGAGGTAAAATGGCACAGAGCGACTTGCGATGAGTGCGTATGTGTATTTGTATTTGGGATTTGCTACGTTTTGATCAGCGTCAGAGGGATCGGAAGGGATGAATTACAAGAGATAATTTCTGGCTGTCTAGCAGATGGAGGGTCAAAGGTCGACGGGCGGGGGGCGACGCGTCCTCAATGTGAAGCCAACAAAGTGCGCCAAAGCACCATTCGACTCGTCATGAAGGGTCGCAGCCACGACTTGAAACCACAAACGCAAAGATGTACACGACAAAACAACAAAGGACGGAACACGGCAGGGGAAATCAGGGGAGGCGACAAAGCACAAACGGACATGATTGTGATCCACAGACAGGTCTGCCCAGCTCGGCCACACAAACATTCATGAGCTGCCAACGGGCAAAATAATGCATTGCATCGCGCTTGAAAAGACGCCAAAGGGCGCGTAGTCAAGTTGGTGGCGGGCGGCTGGATGATGCTTGACCTCATTGCTCGATACGCGCCAAGAGAGAGTCGCAGATTTCTTGCAGCTCCTTGTTGTCCTGCGTCTGGAGAGGCGATAACACCAGGTGCGCAGAAATGAGGTGAGGCGTCCACAGTTGCGCCTCGAATGTGAAATATGTATGCGCCGGCTCATTCGCCAGGGATGCCCGCGAAGCACAAAGCAGGCTCACGTCCAGGGCAGTACCTTGTTTTCGAGCTCGCGTTGCGTCTGCTCCAGCCGAGTCTGTGCCATGCGAACTTTGGTCTCGGCAGCAGCCAGCTCAGAACTATGCTTGCTTTCCATCTCAGAGATGTGTTGGTTCACCGAGTTGATTTGCGTGGCAATCTTGTCCGCCATGGCTTGGTGCTCCTGTTGGTCCACATCGCGCGGGGGGGGGCAAAGTCGGGATAAGAAAAAAAGAGAAAAAAACAAAACAAAACAATGAAAGAACGACGGTGCATACTTTGCGTAGCTGCTCGTTAACTTTCTGAAGTTCGGTGACCGTTTGCTTGAGCTTGCGCTCGTTTTCTTGCAGGTGCTCTGTTCATACGTGGCGCAGCACGGTGGGTCATGTCAAAGAAAAGGATAAATAAAGGTGGGGGAAGCGAGCTTGGGGTTTGGGGGTGAAGCCTTTGGGCCAAACGGACCGATATTGGTTCGGGTTCGGAGGAATCGGTCGTGCAGGGCCCGGTATGACTCATCAGCCTTGTGCAAATCTGCCTGGGCATATCGTAGTTCGGTTTCCTTGTTCTCCAGCTCTGCCTCAAGTTCCTGGCGAGGGGTGGTTAGAAACACGTCAAATGGTGAGATGGCCGTTGCGCACATCCCAGGGTGGGCCAAGCGTGATGAAGACTCGCTCTCCTGGTCGCGGCCGAGGCAAGGCTGGACAAACTTTGACACGCGATGAATTGCCGCCCTCTTCGATGGTCTGTCGGAAGCCCTTGACGAGGTCTCTACAAATTTGGGTTTTGGTTGTGTGTGTGTGTGTGTGTGTGTGTGTGTGTGTGTGTGTGTGTGTGTGTGTGTGTGTGTGTGTGTGTGTGTGTGTGTGTGTGTGTGTTTATGCAAAGCATCAGCAAAGCGCGCGCGTCGAGTGATTTGCGATGGGAGCGTCACACGCACTCATATGTTGCAGCAGCAGAGCTCCAGGTCTCCACCTGACCAGCCAATTGCTTATTCTCATCACGTAACTCGGATGTTTCCAGCTGCGGGGCGGAACCACGGGTACCCGGGCGGCCCAGGAGGGGGGATGTGAACATTAGTTGGGTTGGGGCTTGATATCTTTTGAAAATCGAAATGAGGCGCTGGTTCAGAGGGGGCTGGCACGAGCATACCTGGGCCACGCGCAGTTCCTCAATCAGCTCCTCGACAGAGCGACCAGCAAATTCACTGCCGTGAAGAGGAAAAGAGGAGCAGTTGGCACATGGTGAGGGCTTTTGGCCTCGACCGAGCTGTCGAGCTCAATATTCATGCAGGAAAGCAAGGCGTTGCCCATCCACACACAAATCACGACGCGCATTGGGCCAAGATTGACAAGGAAGGACCAGGAGCGAGCGAGCTTCATCACTCCAAGTAGCAAGAGAAAGCAGAGAAGAAGGGACAGAGACATGGACAGGGATATGGACAGGGACATGGTGAACACGCAAGGTTCTCAAAAAAAAAGGTCGGCGTACCCAGAGGGGATGACGGCAGCCATGATGTTGGAAGGGGTGGCTTCGGCAATGGAGGGGGTTGTGGGGGCGGCTGAATGGGTTTTGAGGGTTGTGGAGAGGAAATCGGGAACGGATGGGTTGGTGGGGGTGGCTGAGTTTGTGCCGGGGCCCGACGGGAGTTGGCGGTGGTGGCGAACTGCTTCCGGGGTAGCCATGTCCAGGAGCTTGCCCGGCGGTGGCGCGCCGACGGCGGCAGCAGAGTTGGTCTTTGAGGTGGCCGGCTCGGGTGTGTTGGCGGGGCTCCTGATGTACAGTGTATGGCCAACCGTGAGTGGGTTGACGGGCTGTTAGCAATGGATCAGCTGGCTTGTGGGTGGCTGGTGGTGGTGAGGCGGGAGCGAGGGCAGGGAGGTTGATCATACGCAAAGGCGGGGTCAAATCGGCGGTAGAGGGACTGGCGAGCCAGGTCGGAGGCCGTTCCTGAGTTGCCGCCACTCAGGCGCAGGGCATCTACAAGAATGGTAGTGCAGGTGAGGTTTGATGATCAGTCCGGCGCGGGGCAGGAACCACGGATTCTTGCTTTTGGGCTGGGAGCGCGCGGGAGGGTCGAGCCTGTACCCAGGTCAAGGTCAGCAGCTTGGGATCGGCCATTGTAGCCAGCACCGGTGCCCGTTCCAGAGGACCCAAACACCTTGCTTGGCGTTTGAAAATCGCTGTCCACAAAGCTTGAGGTCGTGGTATCCATCCTGTTTGCCCTGAGGTCGGGAAGGGGAGAGAGCACGGGTGACAGGGACGGGGGATCGTCGTGAGATGCGGGTGAAAGCAACAACAACCAAACCCCGCCCCCCATTCCTTGTCACTCTTCAATCGAGACTGAAACATCTTCTACACCATTTCAGGTACTGCGGGAGCCAGCTCGCCGCCCCCCCAACCCTCCGCGACCAGCCGCTGCCTCGGTGCTACTTGCTGCCGACCTCAAAATTTTAAAATCTCATCAGACAGAGAGAAAGAGAGAGAGAGAGAGAGAGAGAGAGAGAGAGAGAGAGAGAGAGAGAGAGAGAGAGAGAGAGAGATAAAATTCAAATTTTCAGATTGAACAACAGGTGTCATTCTTTACCGTTGTATTCATGTGTTTGTCAGATCT